TAGCCTCTAGCCAGTGTAAACCTATGCTCATCTGGATGATAGATGTTGTGCCCCAACATATCTGGAGAAATGCAGTAGACAATGTTTAAAATCATTAAGTCATAAAGAGGCACGGAAAAGCACTGCCTCTATTCTTCCTTCAAATCAAAGTTGGGACAGACTTGTCTAAAAGTGAGTTTGGCCAATAGTTGAATGGCCCATCATGGTTTTAAAGAATAAAATCTGAACTCTTACGTGGAATATGGCCAGTGTACTTGGGCATCATTCCTTCAGGCCTATAGAATCTCTGTTGTTGTGAATCTTTGGTTACAGGCACTCTTTTTCTAAAATAGAATAGAATATATATCTCAACATTGTGCAGTTCTTGCCATTTATATATATATATTTACATACATACATACATACATACATACATACATACATATACAGGAGAGAGAGAGAGGGAGAGGGTTCTTGATATGCATCCTGTTGGGTCTTCTCCTAATTTTCCTAATAGTTTTCTTCACATACCAACTACTCTATTTTTTTAAAAAAACAAAAATCCAAATCCATGGCAGTCTATCATCCTTTAATCCTAGAGTTTTTAAGAGTTATCTGGAAGAAATAATCCCCCAGGCGGAGACAAAATAGCTTTACTCCTACTGAATTTCTTGTCTAAATAATAAATAATAACAAACACTTGTTTAGCTAAGCATGTTTGCCAGAATATTTGGCTTTCTTACTATTACAGCTGAGGCAGAGGGGCAGGATACTCTACATTGATTCCATTTATTTATTTATTCATTTGTTCTTGCCTTTGAGTCATCTTGACTCATGGTGACCACCTGTCCAGGTTCCTAAAAAGTTTTCTTGGCAACATTTTTAGAAGTGGTTCCCATTGTTTTCTTCCTAGAGACTGGCAGGCCCAGAATCGTCCATCTGGGTTCAGGCTAAATATAGGATTGGGAATCATAGTTCCCCAGTTTCTAGTCTGGTGCCCTAACCACACCACTACTTTGATAATAATAGACCAGGGATCCCCAAACTTGACAACTTTAAACTTTGGAGACATCTGTAATAGACCATTATGAAAGACCAATCCATGGTCCGTTTGTGGCTTTAAAGGTTCGTTACTTATGCAATATATATTGAATAATAAATTTATTAAAATTATATTTCCAAACTTGGTTCCTTATCCATTAACAAACACTGTTCTGTGATATAACATCAAAATCCTCTCGAGGGAGAGTAGCAATCTACAGTACATCCTTTATTTATTTAGAAAATTTATATTGCTGCGTACTCATACATGGCAACTCAAGGCAGCTTACAAGGACATAAAAACACAATATAAAATAAATAAAAATAAAAATAATAAAGAATAAAAATAATAAAATACTCTCCACCCCCTCCCTGGTGACAACGCACATACATACCAGCCATTTAATGAGTATGGGTTCCCCAAACCCGCAGAACATCTTCAGGGCCTTCTGAAAGAAAGTGGGGGCCATCTAATCTCTGGAGAGATGATATTCCAGAGAGAGGGAGCCACCATACAGAAGGCCCTTCTTCTGGATCCCACCAGATGTACCTCCTTAGAGGATGGGATCCACAACATTCCTTGCCTCCCCACTCTAGTGGATTGGGTAGATGTGACCGGCAAGAGACAATCCCTCAGATAACCTGATCCTAAGCCATGAAGGGCTTTAAAGGTTGCAACCAGCACCTTGCACTTCACCCGGAAGCAAATCGGCAACCAATGCAGCTCCTGCAGGAGAGGTGATTAATGTGCATATCGAGGTCTGCACAAAACTATGCAGGACGCTGCATTTTGTACCAACTGGAGCTTCCGGATACTTTTCAGGGGTAGCCCCATGTAGAGCACATCACAATAGTCAAAACAGGAGGTGACTAGGGCATGAGTGACCATGAGTAAGGATTGTTGGTCCAGGAAAGGGCCTCACTGGCACACAACCTGCAGTTGTGCAAAGGGCCTCCTGGCCACGACTGCCACCTGCTCTTTGAGCAGGAATCATGAGTCCAGGAGAAGCAGATTATGCATAGGACCTGTTTGGGGCAGTGCTACCCCATCCAAGACCAAAGGAAGAACATTTCAACATGAACATACGTGGGATCTTTCCCAGTAGGATCTTTGCCTCTATCCAATGAGTTTTTAAAATCTCGGTAGCAGTTTTCTGCCATCACATGATAGCGTACTCCATGACCAAATTCTGTGACCCTGGATCTAGGCACAAAGCCACCCCAGCCTGGTATAGGTGGTTCCAGTAAGCTTCTTTTGGTGTCCACAGGACCTGTAAAATGATTAAAAAAAAAGTGTTATTGAAAAGTTAAGGGAGGCTAACATGGATTCCAAATGGTATTGGGGGGGGGGAGGAAAACTAGGTCTAACATTAACCATAACTGAAAGTACAGAAAGAAACTGATCCAAGTTTTGATACCCAACCCACTAGAGCATTTCAATAAATCTTCCTTTAAATAGCTTACTAAGAACCTACCATAGAGCAGGGGTGACTCATCCTTGCCCCCAACATCTACCCAAGTGGTTTACAAGGCCCAATTTTTTTCCAGAGATGAAAAGCAGCAGAGATAAAAATCACCTATTAGATACCAAAGGGAAGAATAAGTTTTGAAGGAATTCTAAGCTTTGCCTAACCTAAAATTATTATTTAGAACAATCTTCTCAGTGTTCCAGTTCTCTGAACTCAAAGTCCCAGGATTTTCAGCAAAGGATAAGTTCTTGCCTTGTCACCTGCAGGACCATCTCCTCTGAATTGAATCTTCCTGTGCTCTTTGGGCCAAGCAAGAAGTCTGTGAATTCGCTTCCCCCATGATTCTAAAGGCACACAAGCCCAACACTCCTACTGCACTCTGCACTCAAATAATATTCTCCATAAGGCCAGGTTGATTCCTTTTCTCCTGTCATTCTGGAAAGCCATTGATGTTTTATCGATGTAAGCTGTTTAGCTTTGATACAAGTGGCTGGCACACAATTTGCTATAAGGAAACATATATTGGTTGAGGAAATTTATGGAGATGTCTACATATTTGAAAATTGCTAGCATGGGGAAGGTTGCTGTAAAGAGTTAAAAAGATGATCTTAACAGAAATATGTAGGAATTGTTACCTAGGAAAAAGGAGATAGAAAATTCTTAAGATAACATTTAGAATTAACTCAGGAAGAGACCTTCCTAATTCACTGGAGTATAAGAAAGAGGAGAAGGTATAGCAGCACTATAATACAGGAAGACTCCGTTATTATAGCCAATCTCAAGAAAAGTAGTTTTACTCTTCCTATGTAGTTGACTTTCTGGTCTGACCTACTTAGCGGAGCTAACATCTGCTAGATAATATTTAATCTCTTAGAACAATCTAAAAACTAAGGATGCCTACTGACCACAGAGTATTCCCTAACTGATGTTCTGATAACTGTAAATGTAATAGACCTGATAGGAAAGGAATGAAATACTCTGAACAGAGAGACTCACCCTAAAACTATGCCCCATTTATAAAAATCAAATAATATGAATAGTAGAACCTCAAATGTGGAAAAATAATTCTAAATTTGCAATATAGCAATAGCACTTCAACTTATATATGCTTCGCCGTGCTTTACAGCCCACTCTAAGCAGTTTACAGAGTCAGCATACTACCCCCAACAATCTGGGTCCTCATTTTACTGACCTCAGAAGGATGGAAGGTTGAGTCAACCTTGAGCCGGTCAGGATCAAACTGCCAAACTGCAATCAGCAGTTTGTAAGAAGTAGCTCGCAATACTTCATTGTAACCACTGCACCACTATGGCTCATGTACCCTTTCTAGTTTTCCAGCTGAGCTTTTTAAAGAGCATAAAGCAAGTTCACATAGAATCACAGAGAGAAGCCAATCCACGTGGCCTCCTATCTGAAATAGCATGGTGATTAGAGCCCTTTGTCATACTTTATGGTTCCAGTCTTGCACATAATTTAAAGAGGAAAAAGAAAATACCAAAGGGCTTGACATAGGAGAAATACTCCTCATACCTCTCTCCCAATGAGAAAGTTGTTGTTATCCTATTCATCACTACAATTCATCAAGGACACATATCCCATTCAGTGTCTGGCTCCATTGTGGGTAACAGCTATGAGGTCCCTTCAGTAGTGCAATAAAAAACAAATACCCTACAGAATTTGGCATCTGTGATGATAAAGCACTGGCCTTTGTCATTCAGCTTTAAGCTTCAATATTTGGGAAAAATAAAATGAACAAAGAGTACTCTTTTTGTCACTATTTCTTGTGGTAAAAAGCTCTTTCCTACTTAAGCCTTCAGAATGCAATTTTTTAGTTGGAATGAATAAAGGAAATATATCCAAAAGCTAAGAGCTCAAATGTGGCTTTTTTTGCCATGCTCTCCTAGAAAGGATCAGAAACAAAACTGAGCTTGGGAAATATGAGTATTTGGGGGAAGACAATCAATGCTATTATATACCGAAAATATGCCAATCCAATACAGAGTAAATGACATCAGTGGCAGTATTAGCAATATTCAGCTTCCTTTAAGGCAAAGGACACTTCCATTGGGGGACAATTCACAGGGTTTTTCCTTGCTGATCCTTCACAAACCATTATAAAGCTAATCTTCAATCGTTGTAATTTCAGCTGGCCTTAAAATGCTGGGAATAGGCAGCGAATGTGGTTACTTTCTTAGCAGTTCCAAACAAGACTCAAACAACATTTTGCCTCCCACTCCCATATTACAAATTCTAGGCTAACAAAAATAATCCATTGGAGTTGGGTGGGTAATAAATTCAAATGAATATATTCAAATAAATTAATAACCAGACCCCCTACTCGACATAAAAATAAAAAACAGCCAAGTGCCTGCCCATCCGCAGTTTCAGTACTCATTGCATGAGGGGATCTATTTTTGAGACAAGAATCCAGTGTGATGGGAGAAGCCATCCAGTAATGAAACCATAATTTCTTCTCCTTCTATTAAAAACTTCTGCTAGTGGTAATTCTAGAAGAATAACATGAAAGCATTTGACACCTAGACCACAGGTGGGATTCAAAAAATTTTACTACCAGTTTTGTGGGCATGGCGTGGTGGGCATGGCTTGGTGGGCAAAGCAAGGGAAGGATACTGTAAAATCTCCATCCCACCCCACTCCAGGAGGAAGGTCACTGCAAAATCCCATTCCCTCCCCACCCCAATAACTTCCTTTCCAGCTCTGTTCTCCTGTACAGGGCAACAAAAGAAGACCCAGCCAATCAGCTGGAACTCAGGAGGCAGAGAATAGATGGGGGTGGGGCCAGTCAGAGGTGGTATTTGCCAGTTCTCTAAACCAGAGTTCTCCAACCTTATCAACTTTAAGACTTGTGGACTTCAACTTCAACGCTTTTGCTGGCTGAGGAATTCTGGGAGTTGAAGTCCACAAGTCTTAAAGTTGCCAAGGTTGGAGACCCCTGCTCTAAACTACTCAAAATTTCTACTACCAATTCTCCAGAACTGGTCAGAACTGGCTGACTACCACTTCTGACCTAGACTCTTTTTACAATAACTCTCATGTCTGTACAGCCACAACTCAAAGAAAGAATTAAGACCTTGTATTATGTTAAAACTACTCATCTAAGCAGGAAAAAAACCTTTTCAGGTTTTTTAAAAAAACCCTTTCATTGCTACAGAGGCTGTAAAACTGAAGCTAAGACTGGGTTTGCTTATAACATTGGCTATATTGCTAGCAAAGTTAGGCTGAACATAAATGCTTTCTTGTGTCCAAGAATTCAAATGTAGTGAAGTAAGAACAAAGCTAATAAAACAGGCCATCCCAAACCCAATATTGCAAAAAGGACAAAAAAGTGTGAATTCAATCCATGAAACAGGTAATGTCATAAAGACAAACACATCCAGAGCTGATTCAGAGTCATGTAAAGAGCAACTTTTGGGGCGGCATTAAACAACACTCCTAAACCAAGACACTTACAATAAAAAATATATTAAAAACATTTTACCCTGAAATTAAGATTCTGTACTTTATTTTTTATATTTTTACAAAGTTGTAAGATTAGTCAATTCATAAAGTATCTATTAAGAACACAATTCATGCCCTGATTCGTACACTCTAATGCATAGTATTTAATCAGCAATTGAAAGAAATTTTTTGACATCATTAGTTATTTTCAATAATGTTAGAGTGCAATGGCAATTAAAGGGAGTTAAATATATTCAAGTTATTATAAATGATGCATACTGTACCCAGCACATTGGGATGATGTTTGTAATTATAGTCATCAAGTACATTTAATATTTCTTCATTAGGGCAAATAGGTGGTAGCTGTGGCGTGGTGGCTGCTGTATGCCTCAGTTCAGCTACCTGGTCATTCTTTCTGTCTGTAATATCACGAAAGGTGTTAACACACCACACAGAATCATTTCCGAAGCTAGTTCCAACACGATAGAATCTGAGAGGGATGTATCCTAGAAAAAGCAAAGAAATGTAGTCAGGCGGCATTCAGAAACCTTTAAAATAGGCTCTGCATGTTTATATTTATTTAAGACAATGGCCTCCAAACTTGGCAACTTTTACGATTTGTGAACTTCAACTCCCAAAATTCCTCAGCTAGCGTATCAAAGTTGCCTTGCTGGGAAACAATGATCGAATCCAAAACTTAAAGTAAAAACCTTGTACTATTGCTTCCCTAACCAATGGCCATTCATCCTGTTAAGGACTTTGTAGCTTTGAAAGCAGCTACTTCATTATAACCCTATTAGTTAATTATACTGTCCATCATTTAAAAAAAGTTCTATTACCTGCATTCACAACAGGTGTGTCAGATAGATTATTTGTTGGGATATAAAACAGAATGTTCATCTCTTGGGGCTATATCTTCCAAAATTATGTTATTTTGCCATCTCTTGCCAGGTGATTATATTCATAATATTTTATTATTATTATTATATTTCTCCTCATAATATAAATTGCTATTCCTAACACTAGGCAAAGAGTAAAGTCTGGTGCATGCCACTGAGTATTCTAAGCTGCCCTACAAATGCTACAGGACTTCTACTTGGGGGCAAGATGGATTAGCAGCAGGAGGTGCTTAAAATGGAGCGAGAGAAAGGAAAGGAAGGTGGAGATCTTTATATTTGCTCTCACCAGAGATATGAAAATGAAGAAGGAGTTAAACTTCACTTTGAAACTTCATATGAAACTGTCAGCAAAGAAAGAGGGCAAAGAAGAAGGTGATATTGATGGTATCTCCAGAAGGTATATTCAAGAATTGTGCTTCCCAAATAAATTAGCTCCAGAAATAGTAACACTCCCCTACAATTGCAGGTTGGGGAGACTATGAATCCTGAGATACAGAGGGTCAATTCATCTGGAAGACATCAATCGAGGCACTGCTACCTTATTATTTCTTTAGAGTTTGATTTATCTATAACCTGAGCATTTAAATAACTCTGGGTACAGGTGGGAGATGGAACTTACTTTTAATCCAGAAAGAACATATTACAATGCAAATTAGAGTGCCAGATTACCAAATTGGCTAGAGCACATAAAATACTCTAGTATTGTAGCAAATTCATGATATATACAAAGCCAGCAGAGAGCATTTTCTGTTTGAGAAGTGATAATAACTCCAAATCCATTCCAATCATCTATGATCATCTAACAGCTCTGCCTATCAGTGGATAGTGAAATTGGGATCTAATTATAGTATCAGTCCCATTAGGTAAAATATGATTTTGGCCTTATAGTCATCCACATAAGTATCAACAAAATCCACTTCTACTTTATCCACCTGTCACACTTAGCTAGGTTCACATAGTTGTCTAAAAAGTAATTATTTCCAAGGAATTTAAAAATGTTAGATAGGTACCTTGAGATTTTGTAAAGGATATCCTTTTCACCACTTTCAATAAGCCAATGCTAACCCCATTTATACTAATGAGGTTATAATGTTTCCCATCAGTATGTTGGCTTTTCATGTATCCACTGAGTCCAAAAACAGTTGCAAACATTGATCATTACAATAGTTTATTGTATGCCTGATTGCTAAAAAAAACCCAGAACATTGGTAATCAAGCAGATACCCACAGACATCTCTTTTGGCATGTCATGCTTGAAGATAAAAGTTTTATTCTCTGTATCATTCTTCTTTTCAAAATTGTTGATTATGTTCATAGCCCAGACTCTATAACTCAGAACCCATTGGATCATTGTTTCAGAGAGATTTCCTTCCCGGATTCCTCATTTCCTTCAACAATATCAGAGCTTCTAATAGTCCTTAATTTACAAGTTCATTTAGTGACTGTTGAGTTACAATGGCACTGGAAAAAGTGACTTATGACCCTTTTTCACAGTAATGATCTTTCCAGCATCTCCATGATCATGTGATCAAAATTCTGACATTTGACAATTGGTTCATATTTATGACTGTTGCTATGACCCGGAGTCACGTGATTAAGCAAAGTCAATGGGGAAGCCAGATTCACTTAACAATTGGGTTACTAACTTATCAACTGCAGTGATTCATTGAACAACTAGTGAGAAAGGTCGTGAAATGGGGCAAAACTCACTTAACAAATGTCTCACTTAACAACAGAAATTTTGGGCTCAGTTGTGGTCATATGTTGAGGACTAGCTATACCGGAAAATGTTCTTTAAAATTCAGAGAGATATCCAGAGATATACCTGCCTTGAAGGTATCTCATGTTGAACTGTATAACACAGTCAACATCAGCAGTTAACCACAGGAAATGTTTTATGACACTTTGTATTACATCATAAAATACTCTATTAATAATTCTATCACAAATATTTTATAACATTTGCCAAATTTCAATTCAAGTCATGGCTCCCAGATTTTGGATACATTCTATAAGTTAGCCGTTTTTGTGGTACCTTAGTTGAAAATGTTTTGCCTTTTGATAAACTCTTTTGCCCAGTTGAAGGTTACAAGGCACAAGAATTTTAGTACTATATACATAAAAGTGCCACTGGTTAAACGTAACACCCTTTCGCATGATGTGAGGCTTTCTTTTTAGCTTTAGAATGCTAATAAAAGTTATAATCTTGTTTGTTACTGGTAGACCAATATATTAAACAGTAACAAAGCAACCGAGCTGAGAAAGTTGATCGTTGGCTTCCTCTTTATCTGGACATTGCAATTTCTTGTCAAGTCAGTGGCCAAGAAGAGGCCAAAGGTGTAAATTTTTTACCTGTGTATCCTGGTATCAATGGATGATATTCATCTACTTGCCGCCGAAATGCTGTCATGCTTTTTCCAGCTACGATGACAGAAAGCAAATGCTCAGTGTTGCATCCATACTTCAATATGACTAAGCCTTTAAAAGGCCAGTTTACTCAAAACATACTGACTTCCAGCTTGTCAATCACTTCTGCTATCTAACGTCATGAAGACCATCCACATGGATACAGGCACCAATGATGAGAAATAAGCCTTCCAAAGCAGATTCAAAACAGCTCAGGAAGGATGGCAAATGTCAGGAATAAGAAAACCCTCCCTAGAACCATGGTAACAAGGACCTACTATCCTTGATATAAAAGAAGTGTTTTGTGCAATTTGTTCAGGACACAGGGGCCCTCAAGTCAAGTTCAGTTCCTGTTGACTACATCTATGTTGCTTTTTTTGGCAGGACAACAAAAGTGATTTGGCTTTTTTATAGGACATTTATTTTTCAACTGTCCAGTGAAACCAACAGTCCTGGGATTTCTAGTGAGCTGGATTTATTTATTTTCTTCTTCATCCAAGCAAACACAGATCCCTTAAGGCTTAAGGCTCATTTTTTTTTCATTGAAAAAAAGCACCTTTGGACAACCGTGATCTGACTGAGAATCTCCACAGACTTAAGGCTTAAGCTTATAAGAGCAGCCAAGGTGAGCTTAGGAGTTATCCAGAACTAGCCCACAAAACAACAACCCAACTTTCCAGGGTTAGCTGGTAGTCCTTTCCTGCCTTTAAATGTGGCAAAGTGTTAACTAAAGGGTTGTACATAGCTTCTGATGAGCAAATTCTCTCACCATTTTAAAAGCCAACAAAGCTATTCAGAGCACCTACAATCGCCCATCTCCCCCAATAGAAGCCGGTCAGCTTTCAAATGCCCAGCTTTCCTTGGCTCCTACTGCTTTCCCACAACTTTCTTAGTGCGGAATATCAGAAGAGAGAAACGGTGAGAAAAAAAATAATAAAATAAAAAATAAAAGTAATAGAAGTTCACTCTAAGAAAAGCACTCCCGCAAAAGCAAACTTGAGAGTCAGAGAAAGAAAAAGCGCCCAGAGAACCAGCCAACGCCTTCGGTTAAGAAGCGTTGTAAGCGGGAAAGCTCTAGTGGGACGCCCACCCACCGGTTTCAGTTTTGCGAGGAACCCGCGAGGAATGAGGAGGGAAGCGTTTACCACGATAGTATCTCTGCCAACCACACGCTCCTCCGCCGAGTCTCTCCCGCCCCTCCCAGAAGAGGTCAATATAGCCGGCCACCATCCCACGGCATTATGACCTCAGCCTGCACGATCTTTACAACCGGAGGGAGGGAGACTTCCGGAGTTTAATAATACTCGGGCAGAAGGCAGTGTAGCCGTAGTAGGGGGTGTGAGTAAAGGGGTCGGTTAGGAAGAAAGAGGAAGAGACGCGCTTCTTTTCACAGGTCAGCTTTTCAAATTGACCGCTTGCTTTTGGGTGTTCCAACGACCCTAATCGTAAGCAAGGAGGAAAATAGGAATATTGTGTTTCGCAGACTTATTTAGTTGCCAATAGATTTGAATCTGGAGTTTCCCAAATATTACTCCGGTAAACTAAATTGTATCCCAGATGTAGATTAAGGCAATGTTTCATTAAAAACTGAAACGGGAAGGATTCATGTTTTCCCCCCCCAAGGATATAGTAGTTCCGCACGAGAGTATAGATTCAACGTGACACCATCAGGTTGCTGGGATTTTAGAGCCACGATTCATGGTCGGCACGAAAGTCCACCTTTATTTGGAAAGCATCAGATCACACAGCACGCATCATGACTGAAAAAGTAGGGGGTGTTGCTTACTGTTAGCAAGGACTATTAAATATCATGGTGATCAATTCAGAGAAAGCGTACGCTGCTCTGGTTTCAAAAAACATTGTAATTTTTCAGGAATGTTGGATATCAATTAGAAGAATTTCCAAGGGAAGTCCCGTAGACAGCAAAAATACTAAGGAAGAGCTATAGGCTTTGATTCTGGATTCAGGGTGGGTTCTTCCCTTTTATTTTCTTATGTAAGGTTATTTCACAGTATTTACATTTCAAAAATAAATTTGGAATATCCAATTGCAAAGATGTAATTAAATATTAGACAAAGGAGAACAGTGAAAAGTATCTGAAAATACTTGCAAGCTTAAAGAATAATGTAAACTCCACTGAACAGAAAATAACTTTTTACACAAGAAGCCTTAAAATGACCACACAACATGACCTCCAACATGATTTACTAATTTATTTGAAATTTTGAACAGCAGTGTTTTCAGATGTAAATGTAACAAGCTGTAATCTTCAGAATTTATCTGTGTTTAGGAATCTGGAACAAGGAAAGCAGTCAATCAAATCACATGGCCGTTTTAGAAGTTATCCAAGCATAGATATATATGTTGACTTTACGCTCCACAACCTACACAAAAGTACCCTGGCTTTTTTTTTCATAAATATTGCAATTTACTATAATTATTACATGACCTTTGTTTGAAAAGTAGATCTTGTAACATATTGATAACATATCTTGTAACATATTGTAACATATTGTAACATATTGATATATTTGCTTATCCAAAAACAGAATACAGAAAAATGATTCTCATTTCTCTGTATTGTTTTTGGATAATATATAAGCAAATATATAAGCAAATATCTTTCAAGCAAGCCCAGATTTGATTGACAAAGATTTCTAGTTTCCAGATTTAAGATTTTGCCCTAACAGAAATTTCTCCTGAAAGCAGAGAAATGTTGCTGTTCAGGGTGAAGGTTTTATCAGTAGAGCAAGCTTTCCTTTTACAATGTTTTTACTAAACTAATGCATTAAATAACTTCACTTATGTTTCTTCTTATATCCTGCCTTTTCTCCAGGAACTCAAAATGGTGCACTTGAGACTCTTTCCTTCATTTTTCTCCCTCCTGACAACAATTCCATGAGATCAGCTGGGCTGTGAGAAAGCATTTGGCCCAGTCACCCAACTCATCCTTGTGGCTGAGAGTAGACTTGAACCTGTGTCTTTTCACACCTAGTCAACATCTTGCCCATTTGCAAGAAACCAGCAGATAATAAATACAGCTTATAATTTGTGGAAACTTTAGTGTTTCCTACTCGCATTTTCACGGTTTCTACCAATTTAAGACAGGATAAATTCTATAAGGAAGCATTTACCATTTAAGTGTAACCTCATGCTTCATAATAAAGCCTAAAGTTGTCACAGCATTACATATTCTATTTCTAAACTGTTCCATTAAACATTTATCCTATTTCCACTATTATTTTAGGAAGGGGGTGGGGGGTGGAACCTGAGTGGCAGAGAGAACATCTAGCAAAATTATCCTGTTTAGGACGGAGTTGACAGCAGGGAGGAAAAATATTTTCCAAAAACCTGAATCTTATATCAGTGGCGTTCTATATTTGTGTGTATTTATATTTATCCATGTGTATATATTCTAAAAACTGCTGAAAGCTTTATATATATATATAACTAAAAGTAGCAGAAGCCCCAAAGAGCAAATCAGCCAATATATTCATACTTCTGTTGGCAGGATTATAGCTGAAGTGGTTTGTTGGCTGTACTATATATTTTGCAAGCATAGCAGCCCTCCACGAGTTATCTCCCTTCATCGGCTGCAGGTATATGAAACAAAGCACATTGAGGCATTAATCAGTTCAGAATCTTACATGTCTCTCCATTCAAAGGCAATTATCTTCATGTAAGCTCTGCACTGCTAAACAACTGGTTAACTTTGAAGATTATTGTAATCTGCTTTTTTAAAAGGAACAAATCTTTATGCAGAAATTAAAGGACCTCTGGCCTCGCGAAACATGTTAACACCTTGCATCACAAGTATGTGGCTTCTCAATAATGCAGGAATATAATAGACCTGGAATTGCTAATTTGTTGACAGCTTGATTCATGAAGACAGAGGAGTACAGATGCTATGCATGCACTTTGTTTAGGGGAAATAAAAGTTGATAACAAAAATAAATCTTACTCCTATCAAGCTTTCTGTACCAGAAATATAACCCATTAAGATGTAACCTAAAATCAAATGATACTACAATATATTCTAGAACTATAGTGGATTTCAGGAATCCACTTTAAATTTGGTTCACTATGTAAAAGGGGAAATGAATTTGTTGAGTGAATTAACCTATGGGTTTGGAAAGCAATTTAGATTGGGAAGTGGTAATTCTAATCAGCCTTCCTTAAGACTCAGAACCAGACAGCATTTGTGCACAGAAAAAAATAAGATTATGAAGGATCTGAAGTGACTGAAATTTGCAGAAATGTTGGAAAAGTATCTTCGTCACTCAAGTTGACCATTCACTAGTTTGAGGGGGAAAGTGGTGATAGTTTAGACATCCCTAACGGTTTTCCTTCCTGCAACAAACCTGCTCTGAAGTAGGCCAATGGAAATTAGCTGTATCCAGTTTTTCTGATGCAAGTCATAAGCACTGTACTTCTAAACCCATTCCACTGAGTTGGGGGCTTATTTCTGAGATGCAGTATTGGGTTAAAATTTATATCTCCATTATATAAGGGCGTCGGGCACTTTGAAAAGGAAATGAGTGTTTCACACCTCCTGCCAGTGCCATTTTTGCTATTGCTTGAAGTAGTCTGACCTTTTCAGTTTCTGCTTATGTCTGGGGGGGAGGGGGGGCTGGGGGGGGGAAGATGTTAAGCTTTAATCACTCATATGACTTTTAAAGCCACAGTAATGCACAGTAAGCACTTTCTTACTTTGTAGCAGTTGTTAATAATTTCTGCCATTCTTGTGTTAATTCTAAGTCACAAACCACCATTCTATTGAAGTTGATGGTGATGTAGGAAGTAGAAATGCAGTACTAGTATTCCAATAGTTATGGGAGTAGGGGAAAATAAAGAAATGTAGTTTTACAATGGGATCCTGTGACCCGGTCAACAATTGTTTCCACAGCTTGGGATATAGATTTCACAATATAGAAAAAGTAACATTGGTCTATTGCAGTGTTTCTCAACCTTGCCAAGTTTATGACTGGTGGACTTCAATTCCCACGCTTGCTGGCTGGGGAATTCTGGGCGATGGAAGTCCACTAGTCATATACTTGCCAAGATTGAGAAATACTCATTCAAGGCTTATCCAGGCATTAAAGCAACCAACATGTGATTTTATATTGAGCAGATTCTTGAGTTAGCTTGACTTAGCTTCTGTAATCAAAGAATGTTACAGGCCATTCCCTGTCATTGCTGGGGCCCCTTCCTTTCTGATGGTTGATTGTGGTTCAGTTTTTGTCTCACAAAAGAGACAATTAAAAAAACGTATGCCTTGAAACTGGAGTTCATTTGGTGTGATAATGTGGTAACTGATGATCTACTTTTTATATAGAATAGGTATTATCCAAAGCAGAGCACAGATGCATAGCATTAAGGCAGCCTGTTACCTGTTAAAGCAAAAATAATGAAAAATTCAGCACTGTCTGTAAGCTATTATTTGCGTAGCACGAAGAATAATGTGGTACTGTCTGACATCCTGACACTCCACTCCCCTTATTATAATATCATCTTTGTGCATTACATCTCTTGTCAGCCTTAAAAGCCTGTAATTACTAAAGTCACAGAAGAAACTGTATTATTTAAAATTAAACACTGATGCAAATCAACAGGGATAAAGATCATTCTGTACAAGAAAATACCACTTTCAAAAAGAAAACATCTGTACAATATTTAAATATTGTATATACATCAAATAATTCTTGTTCATAGCTCATTCCATGGAGTTGCTTATTTGAACGCTACAGAAAGGCATTCACTCACTCATACAGGGGAAAAATGCCTTTTAAAAACACAGCAGTCAGGATAAAGAAATGCCAGCATGCATACTTTATAATTATTCCAGGAGAATAATTATTGGAGGAACAAGTTAGATGCTGTTAATTAAAATGACCCAATCTATTCCTCTGATAGTAAATCAAAGCTTATTCTATCAGGAAATATTATTTATAGGATATAATGCAAAGGGATCCTTATTCTTAGAAAATCAAAATGTTTGCATGATGCAAAATTTATCCCTAATGTGTTTAATAAGAAATCTGAGACTTTGAGAGGGAAAAAAAAAGAAACTGATTCTATGGCTTTTCCCACATGCATAGCTAATAGGAAAAAAGATCCAGCTAAACAATTAGCTTTCACATATCTTGAAAGCATAATGGATTTCAGTGGATGACAATGTGTTTTCTGTGTTGTTGGGGGGGTGGGTGGAGTGTCAGCTTCCAGCTGACAAAACAGACCCTTCCGGTGTCATGAATTTGGCCTCAAATCCAACATGTTGGAATTAGCTACCTATCAAGCCCTGAATTGTAGCGCTCAACTGGAAGCAGCCTTCATATTGTAAGTTGTTAGCCTGGAAAGACACACGAGGCTGGCAGTGTATTTTCATCAAATCATCTGTAGTCACATCAGAGATTTGTCCATGGCATGGGCAGTTTTAGACCGACTGAGCAGAGGCAGCCCCGTTGCTAGGGATGTAGTGCTTTCAGGGAGTTTTGACATTGTTTAATTTCCAGAATTCCTTTACAACATGGCTGCTGGTTATCTTACCTGGGAATTCTGGGATTTACAGGTCAACACTACTGGATGACACCAGTTTGGACAAGACGGCACTAGAGTTTTAGTCAGTTTCTATGTGAAGATTGATGTTCCATTCTCCCTTCTTGGATAGAAGTCAGTTAAAGCTTCACTCACATTGAATGTAAATTATTGTTGTGTCCTTTGAAAGCCATTTTAAGTGATCTCAGAAATAATGTCTGTACTCCCCCTTCTGGTTGGAAGTAACACTGCTCAACTACTTCTTTGCAGGGTTTTCTTTTTCTCTGCCAATAAGTTACTTTTCCTGGAGTCTATTGCTGAAGTCAGGTCATGAATGGAAGAAGCTCACAAGGAGCTAAATTGAAGACAGTACATTTCCTTCAAGGAACATTCAACTTCTTGAACATCCGTTTATACCAGGCCTGTTAAACTGGCAGCCCAGACTGAATACAGCCTGTGCAGGCCACACCCACCCCAGCTCTGCAAAGGCAAAAACATCGCAATACGCCATGATACAGCCAGCGATGCGAGTGGGTTTGACACCCCTGGTTTATGCAGTAATTCCAAAGGGAAGTTATAGGGAGAACAACTGATTCTGCAAATTGGTAAATACTTGAAACTGTACCTAGTTGTGAATATAATAGTTTTTTTTCCTTAACGAAACAACTTCTATGGAGTTATATTTATATAAATTATTTTATCCACTAATTAAGTTGACCCAGGAAAATGTTACCACTTTTCTTGTATGAGATACCACTCTCAAAGATCAACACAGGAAGTTTTCCCTTTGTTTGGAATGGCTGAGAAAGGCAATGAAAATGGATCCTTTCACTCTACAACCTGAGGATAGAGATGATCTCTGGTTAACTATTGCTACCACACCCCCTTTGTTTGTTTTGTACAAGAACTGGCTAAAGGTATAGATATATAAAGGTATAGATAAATAAAGCCAGAGGTTGGCCAACAGTCAAATGGGAAGTGGGGACGCTATCATTTATAGAATTGGTTTAATCTTTGGGAAGCATTTTTATTCAATACTGAAAAAGAGGGAAATGCAAAATTAAAGTTGGTGTTAATTAATTGGAGAGAACATTATAATTGAGTACTTTTAAAATTATAAATGGCCAATTATTCAGGTGCAATGTCACTTCTCTCCATAGGGGGGAGGAATTCCTTTCCTAAGATAATGTTCTAAAGTGTGTTGGCATTATTTAGAAATTAAGTATACTGGTTGCTTCAGCATTTCCCACAAATGTTACTGCTGGATCAATTTCTTTAATAAGATTGCAGCTCTAACAGGTTTTACTAACTTAAAATTTCATTGAACAGAAGTAAACCCCCACCAGACCAACATGTCACTTGATCCTATAAAGAAACAACACTTTTGTGCTACAAAGACCCAATTTCTAAACCTGTTCATTTGCATTTTTACATGCTTAAATTCCAGTATTCCTACTCCATCATATAAATAAGAGAGCTTATCTTTTAAAATTACTGAAAACTTAACATATTTCTACTGTGAAACTGATAGCCACAAATCATGGTTATAAACTTAACTTTTAGTGCTTAAAAAAAAATACATCAGTTGATATCCTAAATGTAGAAATGACAGGTTTGATTATTAGGACCTAGAATTCAGAACATATGGAAGACATCAAGTAAAGCAACATGTCTCCCGAATAAATAGAGCAGTAATATTTCAGTGCTTAATTTTCATTACATATTTGGGTTGTTCACTTTACTGTGTAGCACCTGATAACTCTTACGTTCAGATTCCAAATTGGTAATTTCAAGAACAAAAAGGAATAATAATCAAAAATCCTGATGTTTTCTTTTTCTATGCTTTATCTATCTAGCCAAAATTCAGGGTATTTTTGGCAGCCAGTGAACAGAAAATTGAAACAATAGGTGGTGGGGGCCATGGAAAAGAAGAAAAAAAATCAGTAGTTTAGGAAATCAATGCCAGCTTTTACACTTTTAGAAGTGGCAACGTCAATTGCCATGGCTTTAATCTCAGTGTCTCCAAATTGCATTAGCGTTTTAATTTCCCTCCGGCCTGACACGGATTTGTCACTTCCTGTGAGATCCAATCGGAGGGTGCCACACTTCCTCACTCCACGTTCAGTGATGAAATTCACATTATCGTGTTCTGAGCTGTAGATGTTGATCACAATGACCAGCTGAGAAGGCTTGGCAGGGGTATAGCTGCGGGAGACGGTCTCCCCAAGCGCCACGGACTGGTCAGCTGAGATAAACTTGTCGAAAACGTCAGTGCACCAACGGGTGCCGTCTTTAACTAGCAACTTTTCAGTCGGGTGCTTCCCTTCCACGTAACGATTCAGGACTCCCACCCCGTAGGTCAAGGGGGAACGGCGCACTTTAATGACAGCAGGATCCAGACCAAAGAGGACTGCTCCTTTGAGGATGGTGAGCCCGACATCTTGAGGGATGATGATTCGGCATTTTGAGCCAAAAGCATTCTGGACAGCTTGTTGTAGTAGTGGGGCTTCTGCAAATCCACCCACAAGGAATAGGAACTTTACATTTATCAGTTCAGGTTTTCCAAAAATCTCACCTGAGCAGAGAAAGAAATCCATGGGGTGAGAAAAATAGTGCATTTACTAAGACCCAGTGAAAAAAGAATCTAGTCTCATGAGAACAGTTTGATAAAAACACAAGGTAGAAGAGTATGTATGTGTGTCTATGGGGGTATATATAAATACTTACGGATCAGGATGTTATATATGTTCATGAAGGGAGATAGTGTAAAGAAATCAAAATGGGTAATATTCTTCATATATAATTTGATAATCTCAACCATAATCCTATAGAAATGATAATCTTTAAAAAAAGAATATAATTATTTCTGGCATATAGAATTTGTATTTTTCAGGCTGTATGTTCAGTGGAAATTACTCAAGACTCAACAACTGCTAAAAAAGTGCAGTATGATAAACATTTTGTATTAATTGTCCTGAAGAGATAAATTCTCTAAATTCTGAATGTTCTGACTCTTAATGAATGTTTTAAAGCCTTATACACCCTTAATACCTACTGAGATGTTCTATAATTTGGTCAATTGTAGGTTTGAAGAGGGCATTCATTGCATCAGGACTCATTCTCAGCATTCCTTGGGAGGACCACTTCACAAAATCCACACTGGAAAAAAAAAGAAACATTTTTTTTAAAAAAAAAACTACCTTAGTTCTAAGAAACTTTCTTGAAGATAGTCATGAAGTCAACGGAGGCAAATTGTACAGGTTAAGAATTACTTTGAACTTTTTTCAATGTTCCATTTGGGGAAAAGACTGAAAACAATCCTACTGAATATTCATAAGTCTACATGTAGAAGGTTAGTACCAGGATGTACATCAGCTCTGACCCTTCAACACCAGCCTCACTGTAGGGACCAAGATTTTAGGGACAGAGGTCAAACAGTTAATGCTCTATCATGTCAGGAATCAATCTCACTTGAACAATCCCATTTTCCATTTAACATCAAGATGCAAAAGTCTCAAGGCAAGGTCAGTCCACATTCCTGTGTACACCTCTACACTAAATACTCCTTAGAAAGGGAAATATTGTTTTAAAACTGGTGGGAAATTCTTGCCTATTCTGCCACTGAAATGTAACTTGTTTTCTGTTTTCCCTTCTCCCTGCAAAATAGAAAAGAGAGTTTCTCATCTTGATTTGATTGCCACTTGTTACACGCAAAAAGTAATCCACAGCAAGGACATGCTTTTAAAGACAACTATAGGCTTTGCACTAGCAAAACACACATCTGTTTGCAAAAGGAAGGGCACTCACTTTTTCTCAAGAGCTGCTTTTGAGTTGGTGAGCCTTTTTGGATCAGAACAGCATGTGACAATGACGCCTAGCCAGTTGGTGAAACTCAAGTGTCATATTTTGTGTGGACAGAAATGTTTTTGTAGCAGAGAGCTAGATTTTTCACCCTCCTGTTAGAAGAGGCCTTTGGTGCTTTTAAAAAAATCGTAAAGTTAAAATTCTAAAGATATGACATTGACTTGCATATTACGCAAGGGGGGTTGCTCCAAATAGAAGGGAAAAAACTCCCACATCCTTCTTACATGCTTTAAGATTGTTTACATTAGTAAATGCTATGATAAACAGTCTACCTCCTCATGATAAATGGAGCAATTTCACAAAATGAAATTTTAAGGGATAAAAAAAGCTGAGGTTTTCTTTTTGCAATGGACTAGTTAAGGAGGGAGGTTTGGGTTTGGCAATTTTATAAGCTTAATGCTGGAAAGGAAGAAAAAAAACTGTATATATCTTAAATGTTCCTTCACATAGTCAGCAATTTGTCCAGTTGAACCAATTAATTATTCATATTTCATGCAACTAATACAAGAAACTTTCTGGATTCTTCAATGGTGAATCTTATGTACATCTATTTTTTAAAAAGTATCGATGACTCCATATGATTTATTTCCAGAAAAAAGTCACAGAACAGCTTAATTAATTTCTGACTTACTTGCTTTTCCTTAAGGCATGTTCTACACTGTGACCTCGAAACTTCTTGTAGTAGTCAATGAAAGAAAAAGGCAGGGTGATATTCAGTGGATTTGTCCGATCTGGAGCCGCTGCTCTCTTGCGAGACTCAAACGCTATCATCAGATCAACCCAGGCAGCAGGTCGCTTGATTTTAAATTGTTCAATAAAATCTTCACCAAATATTTTGCACAGAAGTTTTTCAAATTCATAATCTACACCTAAAGAGCCACATGGCCCTCCTACATGAGAAATAAAATGTTGTTAATGGAAATTATTATTTAAGAAATGAAACAGCGAAAAATTATGGGTATAGAGTTTGCTTAAAAAGATTTTGCCTAGAAAATTCAAGTACCTTTCTGTTGTGAAAAATAGCTATCAAAGGCAACAGGAGCATTGCCGTGATTTTTCAATATCTTTCCCATATGATCAGGATATCACATGACAGGAACCAGCTCTGTTTGTTCTTTGCCATCAAAATATTCATGGTCAAACATGCCACCTTTGTATACTAAGTTTACAAGGGGACAGAGCTCTAGCCCTATGTATTCACCCATAGCTGTGTCTAGAAATTTATGTGAAAGACATCCTGGCACCATCAGGAAGTTCATTTATGGAGAAGAATGCAACATCTGTGTAAAAGCCGTGGTTAGTAGGTTGTGCACGGCTGGCCAAAATGATTGTCCCACACCATAACTTACATGTTATTTGAATGTGTCATTTGTCAAGAAGTCCCCAAGTGAATCATATATGCACGCATGTAGTCGTTCTTTAAAGTGCCAATTAGAATAAACTGATACTCTGATCTCAGTAACACATTTATTTATTTGTTTAGCATATGGCACGTGTCACTGAGGTGGCTGCCTGCCTCTATGAAAGGAATCTTTTCGGGCTGTGTTATTTTTACCCACAGGATGTCTGAATGCCAGTAGGCAAGCTCCTTTCTTGTCCCTCTGCAGTTTATTCGCTCACGGGAATCGAGTCGCCGAGCTGCCGACCTCAACAGTGCACAGGCCCAGCATCTTTACCACGTGAGGCACCACAGCCCCACTTAGTAACATGCTCAGTAACACAGAAAAACCCATAACGAATCTGAGGGACAACATTATATAGTAGAATCAATGCACTGTATAATTTCTTCTTCATTTCTTGAAGCAGTTGACAATTTTTGCTTTTCTTCAAAGGTAAGTTTCTTTGGAACAGACTACATGACTTCCAGCAAACCTTGTAACAAGTTGTTTTTTGAGTGAAGAAATTAAATGTTCTATCAACAGTAGGAATGAGGAATCCACTTTACCTGTTGCCTTGTATAGTTCCTTCAGGTGTCCTTCTGGTAACCTGATCTGGTGCACAGTAACGTCAACTGTTCCTCCTCCCCCATCCACAACTATGTAACGGTCACCTGTTAACTCAAAGGAATAACAACAGTTCAAGTTTCCCCTCGCCAGTGGGTATTTTGCATCTATTTTAAAAGCCACTTCATCAAAATTACAAGAAGTTTACACACACACAAAATGCATGTAACTGAAGCCTGTGCCAAAAGCTACTTTTACAGTATGTTTCACCATGAGTTGGTCTGCTACTGAATGGGCAGTGATTTGAAAATGGAGAGCAAATTAGGAATACAGCACATTTAGGCACTGATGCTTGAATAATGTACTGAGTGATAACTACAATGACTTATTTATATTGTGATTTACTTTAAATAATATGTGAGTTAATAAAGATAAATAGGTTGATACTGGTTCCTTCACCCCAAAGCACTGTGCTTTCATTATGCCTTTAAACAACTCTGCAATTGTTCATCTCTTGTTTGGACTAATGCAATGAATTCTACATGGGGCTATCCTTAAAAAGTATTTGTAAGCTTCAGCTGGTACAGAATTAGGTCACAAGCAATCTTGAGCGCCTAATGAAAGGACATGTAACAAATGAGCTGCATTGGATGCCAGGTGCTTCCAGGTGCAATTCAAGGTGACCTTTAAAACCCTACATCAGGGGTGTCAAACTCAATTTCATTGAGGGACGCCTCAGGATTGTGTTTGACCACTGGGTTAATTCTTTAGCCAACACCTGTTTGCTGTTGAGAACAAGTCCACATGGTGGGAAGCAGTGGATGGGTATGGAAACAACTGCAGTGAGGAACAACAGAAATTTTGTTCACTAGCCTAGTCTTTATGTGGCCCTCTGCATTTATTAGAATCAAATATTCACAAAGGCACTAAAAGTAACAAGTCTTGCAGAGAACCCAATTCTGCTGGCAATGCAAAACCAGTGAGACTAAAAGAACGGACACTACCTTCCTCCAACTCGGACCAGATTTCTCCAATGACGTTTTCAACCAAAAAGGTGCGGCTCTGTCGATTTCGTCGAATGTGTTCTTTTGCTAGTGGTGACACAGAGAGAAAATGACTGAGTGTAAAAGAGCAAAAGCGAAGCTGTATGTATATGGAGCAGAAAGGAGGTGCTGGGAAGTGGGCTAGACATCATTTGGTTATGAGTTACAACTAATATATCAATAATCAAAGCTAGAGCCCCAAAGTGGTATAGCTCTAGCTGTAATTCTTTCAACAAATTGACTCAAAGTAGACATCTGTGGTGGTTGAAGGCTTTTAATTCTATATAAACCAAACCTTGTATTGCAAACTTACCATAAACATACAATAAAGATTAAGCAAACCAAATTCTGCTCAAAGTAGCTTTGCAGTATTTTGTTATTAGTTAGGCTATTAATTCATAAATAACTGTGAATAAGAGAATCTGTCTGACATTAAGGCAGATCATTTGTCTCGTTAATCTTAGCAGATCTGTAGAGGAGAAATACACAACATGGTGCCTACCCACACCAAATGTCTTTAGGTATTCCCTTTGTACTCGTAAGTCTCCCTTTCCCATCATATTTCTTAAAGATTATTTTCATTTGGAAAAAAAAAACGTCTAAAGAAACCAAGCATGCTGAAAAACAGAAGACGAGCATATTGTATCGTTCTTATCTCCAGCAATGACTACAGGCCCACAAAACAAACAGGATATCCTGCTAGAAAAATTGCCTTCTGTTCAATGGGCATTTTGGAAGTGCTAAATCCCAAGTCCATCATCATCATCAATTTATATGCCATCTGACTGCCATCAATTCCTAACACAACAAAATAAAAAAGAAACTATTATTATTGTCCTTGGGAGTTTTAGTTGTTGTTTTCCTCAGATCTAGGAAGAAGGGAAAGGCCGTAGGCTGTCAGGATAAGTTGAATTAAGAGATTCACTGGGAATTCCTGGCAGGAAGCACCTCTCAGGTTGAAATTAGAACCTCTTCCAATTTGCAGTGGTCCAGATTATCTAATCTGAGATGCATTTATGTTTGTTTTTGTTCACAAAAATCAGCATGGTTAGCTAAAGAATGAGGAAAGGCAGGATTTTTTTTCCTTTCTTTTTTCTCTCTAGTTTTATAAAACAGTTTCACATATTATCTTTTTTTGCCATAGTTAGGTATATCCTTGGGCGCTGGGGCCAGCGTGTAATCACGAGTTCCTATCTGGAGGACATAAGTCTCCAAATCATATAAATAAAACTGTAAATTTGAGTCACTGTTCTTGATTATTGTTTACTAAATTTTATTTAAAATTGTTTGTATTCGTTTGATATCTGTTCCTTAATTTGTTCTATGCCTCTCAGAACTGCAGTGTTTTGAGTTGCGCAGCCATATACATTTCTTAAAACATTTACTTAAGTTAGATCAGTATATAGCAGTTTATTGTTCTCTAAAACCACAAACAATTCACATTTTGATTGGAATGGTATAAACAAATCTGGAAACTCCACATAAGTTGGCATATAAATTCCAAAATCCCCCAAGAGAAAGTTAATAGGCAAGGAACTGTCTTATTTCTGATACCTCATTCTTGGTTTCCCCATTATCAATCTCAGATCAACTTGCAATGACAAATTTTGTCTAAATACTTCCATAAGAAAACTGGTGGACTGCAGGAATTAGGTGTATCATCAAATCAAAGTCTGATTAAAAATAATGGTACCTGGTGTAAAACCTGAGCCAACTGTTTCACTGGGAGTGTAGCCATTGACAGGTGCTCTACTGCTTAGGTCTATCATCTGATGAAGACGGAGCTTTCTGCAATAAATTGATGCAGCTTCTGGTTCCAAGGCAATTATCAGTTGTTCAGGAATCTCTGGGGATGCCATGCCTGCCTGTGAGAAATGAGATGGAATTGTAAAAAAATATTATTTATTTATTTATTCATACATAGTTGTTCAAAGTACAGGTATTTCTTGACTTACAACATTTTGTTTAGTGACCGTTTGAAGTTACAATGGCTCTGAAAAAAGTGACTTATGACTATTTTCACACTACAGCATCCCGCATGGTCATGTGATCAAAATTCAGGTGGTTGACTCATATTTATGACGCTGGCAGTATCCTGGGGTCATGCAATCTCCTTTTGTGACTTTCTGAAAAGCAAAGTCAATGGGGAAGTCACTCACTTAACAACTCTGTTACTAATTTAAAAACTGCATTGATTCACTTAAATGTGGCAAGGTCGTAAAATAGGGCACTATTTGTTAACAACTGGTCATAAATTGAGAACACCTGTAATCCCCATCCTAACTTTTTTTTCCTCCCATATCTATTGTATGTTAATTTTTTTGATTGAATAACTGAAATATTTAGGAATTTTTTTACGTAGGTCCTCAGGATGTACAAATAAAGGAGAATATTAATAGTTGGATAAATTATCTATTTGTTAGGCTTTTCAAATTAAGTTGCACAAAACAACCAGCGTAACTTTGCTCTTTTTTTGTCTCATCTGGATTAAATTCAGCTCTTATGCTCTGGAACAGCATCTAATATTTATTTTTTATTATAGTTATAATTGACTTTCCAATAAAACTGCCCAAGTTGTACAAAATGTTTAAAATACATCTGATCTCATGATCACTCAATGTAATGAAAATATTTATGTGGACTACTAAGACTATTTATGCAATGTCTTAATACTCTTAATACAATACTCTTAAATAGAGGCAGTAACTCTTAATTCATTAGAATATAATCTTAATGAATTATATTCATTAGAATACAATCTTGCATTTTTCTGTCTTCCCCACATTGTGCAGTTGATCCAACTGCACAAAAAACTATAGGAGTAATGAGATGAGGATGAGAAAATGATATATGGTATTATAAAAAAAATCTGAAAGGGTTGGAAAAGGTCATGCAATCAAGCCAAAATTAAAATGTATTTATTTGAGCCATGATAATCTTTCAAAAGAAATGTTTCATGGCAGGAAGCAATGCATATTGAAGGTCCTCTTTTTCAAAAGTTAAAGTTCCTCTCAACTTGGCCGTTTTGAAAGCTCTAATATGCCAGACTCAATATTTCAGTCTTGAAAACCAGATTTTGGATATTGGGGATAAATATGCTTACCAGCATTAAAACAGTGTTTTAAATTTTTGGAAGCTATTGATACCAAAAGAAACATCTCCCCCCACCCCCCACTTATTTATAATTTAGCAGCACTGACAACCACTCCATTTTCAGGGCTTTGAAGCTCAATTCCATGAGTAGAAAAAAAATTAAATCACAATAAGCACAGCTGATGAAGTAGAGTGGAAGACTATATATTTTGAAAGAGTTCATTTTTAAGAGTACAAAACCTGCTTCCCCAGTTAAATGTGGGAGTCAACAGTAAGAAACAGACACAGACATTTTGAAGGAATACAAGTTCCCGCCTTTTTAAAAAAATCAGGATCCAACAATTGGATCACAACAATATATTTCATGTATTTACTAAGATAACAACATTAATTTCTGCAAACTGCTTTTGAGTGGGGTGGATGCAGTAGAGCAGAGTATAATTTTTAATTTAAAAAGCATCCTGTTTTAATGATCTGCATGGCATATATGTTGGACTGGTAAGATACTTTACAAATTATGAAACAATGTTTTCTAATTGGCATTTTAAAAAATAATAATGGAAGGCTAGGGTTAAGTTTCCTTTTATTACGTAGTGCACTAGAGTCCTCTTTTGGGGGGAAGAATACTACTCCAATTCCCAACATATTTCCCTCTCTCTAAAATATAGTAATTTCTCAAAAAATAAAAAATGAGCTCAACACTCTCTCAACTTGGCTGTTTGCTTGTAGATGTTTCATTATCCATGGGAGTAACGATATGTGTGTGTGTGTGTGTGTGTGTGTGTGTGTGTGTGTGCACATGGACATGCGCCCATACACTACCTCTAAGTCATTGTTAAAATTACAGCTCTAACTGCATGGCCTAATTTAGAAACCTCTTGTCCATAACTTTTCAACTAAAACCCTTGTCCACTGCCAATTATCCTTCTACTGGTCCAAAGCAGCACACTCTGAACTTGTCCATTCAGAAGGTTAAAACATCTTAAAATTGGTGCATAGCTTATTCATTTTCCTTTGATGGATTAAGTCAAGAGTTTTTAAACATTTTCAGTCCACAGAATCTACTATCCTGATTGAGAGGCAAAGCTTAGCTGTGTTTCAGTGAACTACTTTTTCCCCCTTGCCCTGCTCTTTCATAATCCTGTGGATTAAACATTTAATGCTAAGTACCAGGAAGAGAGTTTTTTTTAATTAGTAGTTAATATGAATCTGACATACAGCAACGATAACACTTCTGTTAAAAAAAATTATTGAAGAATCATCATTGATCAATAAAATGACTCCTTGATTAATTGAAAGTTAATTGTCCACTTTATCTAGCAGAATTGAATAACACATGAACTTTCATTCATGCCTATGGACAAGTAGGAACTCAATGAAAATTACTTCCAATTAATTATGTGTGACCAAATTCAAAGAATCGAATTATAGCGCGTATAAATATGCACATGAATTTCTTCTTCTTCCTCTTCCTCTTCTTCTACTACTACTACTACTACTACTACTACTACCACTACTACACACACACACACACAACTATCTCTATTATGAATAATATGGCATAAATTAATTCAAACATGACATGATTTGTTGAAATTTTGGAGCATTCAAACAGAAATGAAAAAAGATTAATTATGCTAGTTGAGTGGAATATGCTATCTACCTCTTCTGTTGACCCCTTGGGGGGCTTCCCATTTTCTATTTTGGGAAATTTCAGCCACAAAATGAGGTGATGTGTGTATCTCTTCAGGACCAGTTCTTGGTACCAGAAAAGAGACGTTAATTTGTCCCAGAGCCATATTCCAAGTGTAAATCCTAATCAACCTCTTGCACAGTTTCAATGGGCATTGAAACTGGTTTCAGAAGCAAAATTGCTTTAAATTTTGGTTTTGGTTTGTAAAGTACGTTAAAAATGTGACGAAAAATTAATCCGAGCCCACCACTACATGAAGTACAGGCACTCCTCAACTTATGACCAACCACTATTGAGCCCATCATTTTTGTTGCTAAGTGAGATAGTTGTTAAGTGAGTTTTGACTCATTTTACGACATTTCTTGCCACAGTTGTTAAGTGCATCACTGCAGTTGTTAAATTAGTAACTTGGTTGTGAAGGGAATCTGGCTTCTCCATTGGCTTTGCTTATCAGAAGGTTGCAAAAGGGGATCACATGATCCCAGGACACTGCAACCATTATAAATATGAGCAGTTGCCAAGTGTCTGAATTCTGATCATGTAACCACAGGGCTGCTGCAATGGCTGTTTAAGTATGAGAAAAGGCCTAAGTCAGGGGTAGGAAAACTTGGCTCTTTTATCACTTATAGACTTCGACTCCCAGAATTCCTGAGTGAGTCATAAAAGGTTGCCATCCCTGGCCTACTGGTTTTTCAGTTGTGGGAGAAATCAATTTTTGACTTGAAAGGGACTGTTTAATATACAAATATATGTCCTACATATTTGTGCAATCCAAGCCCTGCGATTAGGTCTAAATTGGAAGTTGTTAACGTACATTTCTTGCTTCGAGCACTTTAACACAATGATCAATTAGCTTCCTTAATTAATTATGGCTTCAAAATGATACAACCTTATCTCACATGCTCCATAACAAAACATTAATATTAATGTAACAAAGGGGATTAATTAGTGGAAGAATCACCAAAAGAATCACATCCACAACATTTTGTGGTGATAACAACAAACCACTAACAACCATCTGTTTCCACTAACAAAGGATATTTGCATGAATTTCCCCTTAATATTTCAAATGTGATGCATTTCTTTAGTTATTCTGCAGACAGGAAATGATCCTCTGTTCAACCAAGAGGTAAAGCTTTAAATCGCTACTTGCCATGATTTTTAAAAAATTCTATCTTCCTTATATAAACTAATATTTACTCATGAATCAGTAAGAACCATAATATGCTCTAGAGGCTGAGGAATTCTGGGTACTGAAATCCACATATCTTAAAATTGACAATGCTGATCTAATTCATCAGCAGAGAAAAACTATCTAAAAACTTTCAGTAACAAGGTGAAATTATCCGCACACCATTCATTTTTGTCAAGTCAGACACCTTGGGGTTTTTTTTGAAGCAGAATGTGTCATTTTCTTTAGCATTACAAAACCTGGGAGGAAAAGGCATTTACTTCTCAGCTTGTCTACAATCAAGAAGAAAGGCAAGACAGACTAAACTTAAAAGTTTTGCACTACACACATAAATAAAAATGTAGTCAAAATGAAATTGTTCCAATCTGATTCCTAATATACCAAAATAGCATGATATTTGGGGGTGTGCCATGCCACTCACAGTTTGTTTACTTCAGAAGGGTTTTTACTAATTATAACTTCAATGTACAGTATGAGAAATCACATGCTCCATGCTGACTCCATTGTTTTTGAGTTTCCTCTCTGGGATGTATGTGTGTGTGTGTGTGTGTGTGTGTGTGTGTGTGTGTATGTATGTATTTATTTATGTGTGTCAAGGTTGGATAATACATTAGGAAGGAGAGAAATATTTATATACCTATCCTTTGTAAAGAGTAATGCTTAACAGATTTGTGGAAATTTAAGTAACAAATTATTCAACTTTGAGGGAAAAGTTTAAACAATTTGTAAACTGTTTCTTCAGCTTCTTTGCAGAGGCAGCATTTGCTGTCTACTGCTATCTTCTCAATTCTGGCTTTTTATGCATTTGACTTTAAGACTTGGTCTTGTGCAACAAGAATTATCCACTCTACCTCTTTCTTCAACTTTCCTGCTCCTAGCTATTGCCTGGCCTGTTATTATTGCTTTCCCAGCTAATTTTTTGGTGTCCTGGTCATGTAATACTTTGTCTTGCCATGTCTCTTCTATTTTTCATTCAATCTTTTTTGTAGGCCAGTTTTGTCTCTTTGGTATCCAGTAAGCCTTCATGGTGTACTAGCTCACTGCATCTTCCTCACTGTCCTTCATCCAGACTCTTCATGTTATTTCCACAGGGTTTGATTTTTCCCATTGATGGTTAAGTGACACTTTTGTCTAGTCCAAACTCCCCTGCAATATACAAGCAACGCTGAGCATCCATTCTATTTCAGTTGGTGTTTTTCCATACAGCTTCAGATGGTCCATTTAAAGAGATGGAATAATCTGGCAGAACTTTTTGATATTATCAATCACTGAATGATATTCCACTATGGCATCAGTTTATGGATGAAGAATTTGTAATGCTACATGAATTGTAAGAACATCTTTGCCCAAGCCAAGCAGAAAAATAACCTTTCCTGCTGATAATATCAAGAAAATTGATATTGACTCTTAAATATAAATAAATGTATTTTGTATATTTAAGATTCAATATCAATTTCCTATAGCAAAAATTTATTTGAAAATCTGGCTTATTTTAAGAAACTCTCATAGCAAAAGTTTCAAATCAACAAAAAGTACCTATTGTTTTTACTATCAGATCTTTGAATTCTGAGGTAGAGAATGTGCTTCGTGAATAAAATAGTGACTGAAAGCAAGTATACTTAGATGCCGAAAAAAATAAAGCAATTTGAAGAAGGCAGGTTGAAATTTCTCAGGCAAAAATGTATTGTTATAATAACAATAGCTGTATCATCATCAATTTGTATTTGTCTTTTCATGTGAGTCATTATCTCTGGTTCAGGTAATATAAACACACATTTTGAACTCACCTCTTGAACAGCAGGAGTAGCCTCTTTCACAAATTCATATACTCATCAAAATTTGTTATGGCTTCCCAGTTCAAAAAACTTCTTAAAGAAAGCCTCCATATGTAAAGCTTTACCCATGAAGGCTTCCAGTTAAGTTTGAGCCCTAATTGCGCAGAGATAGTCTGAGTCAGAAGGTAGCTTTGAATTATACATCACAGGCAACCACTGAGTTTCTCCAGGGTGTGGTTTAAAAAAAGTCAAGATGGCCACTGCAATAGTCCTATCTGAGGGATACCCATTTTTTCTATGGAGAGTATACAAGGCACTTAAAAAATGAAGAGACCCTGCATTGTCACAGTCACCAACTTCATTTCTTTTGGACAGAGCCTGCAGACATCTTTGGTTTCAACTACAGGTCTTTCCATTTTGTCACTTCCCTGCCTACCATTATTTTCTCTATTTTGAAATACATTTCTCCTGTGTGTGCAGTGATCCAATTATTGATCAGTTAATATGTTCCCAAACATAAATAATGGATGTATACGTTTTTCAAGAACATCCCTCTGCAACACACATGGGAATTGTTAATAGAATATGAATACTTCCTTTATTTTCCATGGTTACATATGCATACCAACTAAAGGCCAAAGACAAGACAGATTAACATGAGACTCTAATGTTAGAGCTTTACCTACAATTGTGTCCTTCCTGAAAACCCTAAAAGTAATTTGGATATGTCCTCATTAGTAATCCTGTAAGATAGACTGTTGAAAAACATCACTGATGGGTAAAATTATTCAAAGTTATTGGAATACATTAGAGATTAATCAAAATACCCAAAACACCTTTAGAAAATGTACACTGTCATGTCACTGACAATGGGATTGTATACATCACGATATGAAAATTAAACAGATTATATTCTACAGATGCATCTAAATGTCTAAAAAGGAAATGAAACTCAAAGTAATGGACAACCATGTAATAAGGCTATCTTCATCAATCATATAAGCAAAATGAAATTGGATCCAATGGCAGAATTTTTTAAATGTATAAAATATTAGTAAGAAAATAGGTATTTCTCCAAGAGATACCTATGCTGCTGAGAAAGACAAAGGAACTTTGCAATTCTGTCTTTATCCTTTATTATTTATAGATAGTCCTTGATTTATTACTATAATTGAACCTACAATTTCAGTCGCAAGTCATGATGGTTGTGCAGTGGGTCAACATGGCTAGACCTGATTTTACAACCTTTTAAGTAAATCCAACAGCCATAAAGCAACCCTATTGCTTGCTGTTGGCTGGATTTTACCAGAAACTGGAAATAAACACCAGTTTCTGGCAAAACCGTTGCTAAATCATGATCATAGGATCGTAACATTCTGCAAATAGTGATAAATGCAGGCTGGTTGCCAAGGACTCAATATGTAGTCACATGACAATGGGGGGGGGGGGGTCGGTGGTCTGGATGTCACAACTTTGTAACCAGATTGTAAGTCCCATTTTTCAGAACTTTGAACAGTTGCTAAGCAATCAGTTGTAAGTTGAGGACTACCTGTATTGCCCTGTATTTTTTCTTTTGAAATACAGATCATGCGAGGCTGCAGAATATCTTCAAAGCAAATGATACTAGAGTGTTGATAACTAATTAGGTATCACAAAAATATGAACCAGGGAACTTCTGAAGTTTCAAATTTGGTAAGAGTGCTACTAATGTTCATCTGATGTCAACCACCATATCTAGGCAGAACCATGCAGGTTTTCTAAGCCACTTGAATGAGACTGGCTATAATAGAAACTTGTTAAGTACCATTTAGAACAAGTGAGACACTTCCAGATGTTATCTGAATGTTTTTGAATTTTAAAATAATTTAGCCCTTTTGGCCTAGGTATTAAACCTGAATACCTCCATCAAGCCCTATCTTTGTTACTCTTTAAACCTGCAATATTCACCTTACCTTGTAGGCAGCTTGCCTCATAAACTGCTTTGCAGGCTGCTTCCAGATGGCAGGCACCGTGATGACCCATCGCACATCAGAATTTTCAAACTCTGACCCAGCTTGATCACTCAGTTCCTAAAACAATTGGAAGCAATGCAGTCGGAAGATATAAAATGAGAACCAACTGTTTCAAAAATCAGTAACACTTTTTGGTAGATCCCGTGGAAATTATTACCCTGTTTCTCCAACAATACGGCCTCCCCCAATAGGAAGTCCCAGCATGTTTTATAGGCATGAAATGAAATTAAGCCCCTCCCCCCAAATTAAGGCCTATATTAAAACATGCGAAATGGGGGGGAATGGGGGGGGGCTTGCCGTTAGGAAGTACTTTTGTTGCACACCCGGATATGGTGCTGCCTGCGTTGACCCCGATACGAAGTGCCCCACCAACGCTGAGGTCAACATCCAAGCCGTCGCCACCCGCCCGCCTGAAGATGCAAGGGGGGGGGGAATTAAGTCACCCCCGAAAAGACGGCCTAGCCATTTTTTCAGGGCTCAAAAAAAAATAAGACCCGGCCTTATTATATGAGAAACACGGTATTATTTGTTTCTTGCATTGATTGTCTGTCAATAGCACTCAACCGGATTGAAACAGAAGACTGCCTAGATAGCTAAATCAAGGTTTCAGCTTCATCCTATCAAGGAAGTAGGAAAATAAGAGTTCAGGAAGGACAAGCATTCTCCAAATTGAAAGCCCAAATTGAACAAACATAATAAGGCGTTATGTTGAGGTCTGGTCCAAATGTCTTTTCCTAGAATTAATCAGGTTTAATGACACTTGTTGTAAACATATATCCATTCTATTATCCTTTCTTTATTAAAAGAGTTGCTTTATTTAAAGGAAGCATTCGAATTAGATCATTTTTTTTCCATTTTAAAACTTGAGTTAACTGCAAATTCTTTCCCTGTGTGGGCGTTTATTGCTTTTTTTTTTTTTTTTAAATAACAACAGAAGTGTCTGTTCTTCATATATAAGGGAAAATAGCTCAGTGTTTTCTTTAGGCATCTGCATCCAATTGGTTGCTGGTGGTATTTATGATGAGGAATTTCACCACAGGTAACAACTCTTGTGTGTCTTTGTGTGTGTCTTCCAGAAAACGAATGAAAAGGTGTAGTGTCATTTCCTTGAGAGGAAAAAATATGTGGTTAACCAACAAGAATAAGATTTAAAACTTGTGGCTGAAAAGGGAAGGTCTTTCTAGCAATGCTATTTTTTAAAAAAAAAAAAAAGTATGTAAAAACAATGCTATTAAATCTTTTGTTTTTTTAAATCATTGCTTGAAACCTGGTGTTTCCTCAAGATGGACTCAGCATGTTACTGTGAAGATTCTCCAATTTCCTTTGATGTGTTCCTTTGCTCCTAACTTTATAGCTTTTTCAAACACAAGAAGTCAGCTTTTCCTCCAATGCCCTACTGCAATGTTTGTTGAAGTTGATTATTTTAAAAGAAATTTCAATCTGGGTTCAGGCCTTGTTATAAGACAGAGAAAAGACAGTGTTAAAAGACAGTCGCCTTGGATCGTTAATACAGGAACTGGGGTTGCTGGATATTGCTCAACTCAAGTGACAAGATCTAACCAGCCTTAGCTGATACCAGACCTTCCTTCTTGTAAGCTGGACAGGAAAATAATTAATTCCAGGAAAAAGAACCTCAGAGCCTGATTAATAGTATTTTACTGGAAGGAATGTTAAAATTACAACATACACATTCCAGCAAGAACTCTACTTCTGTGCGAGAAATCTTTATATAGGAATAAGGATTATTCTCTCATTATTTTTTAAGGCATGGAGATGGAACCTAGAATTAAGGAGAAATTTCCTAACAGTGAGAACAATTAACCGGTGGAACACATTGCCTTCAGAAGTTGTGGATGCTTCATCACTAAAGGTTTTTAAGAAGAGAATGGATAATCACTTGTCTCAAATCCCTTCTTGAGAAAGGGATTAGACTAGAAGACCTCTAAGGTTCCTTCCAGCTCTATTCTGATTGACTGACTCAGCTCTATGAAGCTGGTGTAGTCTGCCCACTCTCTATTGTAATTGTTTTGGTAACTGTTCTTCCTATTATCAGTATGAGAAACAAATCTCACAGCTAACCTAAAAAACATTAAGGAAGGTTGGTATGATTAATTTTGGGATGGGAGATCAAGAAACCTGCTTCTAATAATCTCATATAAATGAGACCTGGAGGGCAATGGCCATATTCAATCTGATCAGACAAGAAAATGACTATAGAAGGAGGCAGCTCCTCAGATAACCCAGTCCAGACCCATTAGGGCCTTAAATGTGTCAAATAGCCCCTTGAATGGTAGTCAAACAACAATTGGTGTTGCTCTCAACAGAGAGGTCAATAAGAAGTACCCAACATCATCAACACCATGTTTTGTAACTTCTGAATGCTTTCCAAGGGCAGCTCCATGTAGAGCACACATTACAGTAATCCAAATGGGAAGGGACTAAGGTAGAGGTGTCAAACTCAAGGCCCGGGACCAGATCCGGCCTGGGGGGTGTTTAGATCTGGCCCATGGGGCCACCCTGGAAACAGTGAAGGACCGGTCCACTGTGCTTCTGCCATCGAAAATGGAGCTTCGGAGTCCACAAGTGCCCCCCCCTCCAAGCTTCGTTTTCTCAGGAAGAGGGTTGCAGGAGGCTGTCACAGACGAAAACAGAGTTTGGGAGTCTGTTTTTGCTGGCAGAGTGCTCAGGCCACCACAGGCACCTCTGACATGAGTGACATCAAGCCCCCCCCCCCGGCCATACCACCCCAGCCCCGAGGTCAAACACAACCCTGATGTGCCCCTCAATGAAATCGAGTTTGACATTCCTGGACTAAGGCATGAGAGACTGTGAGCACATTCTATTTTACACCCCATTCCTACTGCCAGTAGCATGTGAAAGGGCCTTTCTATGGTTACTACTATTCTTCCACTGGCTGGCAATGACATATTTATCTAGACAGGTTAGCTTTGCAACTAATTTGCTGCAGTTGATATTAATGTGCTAAGAGCTCCTTATTTATTTTTTTGTTGTGTAGTTTTATAAATGAATTATAAAATTTATATTTTATCTGCATTACTGAACATTCACACCCCGGTTTTTATTGGAGGGGGAATCATGTAATTTTAACCAATTTTAAATAAAAAACTATCCAAACCTCAATAAATATTGTGAGAACGTAACGAGTTAGAAATAGACATAAGCAAAACCATCTTTCAATGTCAAAGCAATTGCCTTCTTACTGAGATTGTATCTGTCACTCCTATTTCTTAGAAACCAACTGGGGAGACTCATGTCTTTGATCATGGCTATGGTATGCAGGACAGATGGATTTAATTTTTTACCTACAATAACATTTCTCATAGAAACTCTTCTTATGTTTCTTTGGCCCCAAGTGCTATTTTGCAACCGAGAATTATTTTGCTTCCATGATTCTGAATCAAGACTAGGAATAGGAAGGGGGAAAAGAATTTGTGAAGAAGAAAGGTTTGGAAGCCAATGCATTAAAATGCATGCTTCAATGAAATGGATAGTTGGACTTCCAAAGATTCTGCAGCTTAAGAATACTTCACTGAGAATACTTCCAGAAAGGGCACAATTAAAGTGTATTGTATTGTATTGTAAAGTGTAAAGTAAATTGTATTACCTTGTACTTGGTCCGCAGCATTTGTACTTAAACAATTAGAAGAGAACTCCAACACAGGTGGAATTGAAGCGGAAAAAGAGTATCCTAACGGGAGTGGCCTGACATGGAGATGGGCTTTGTGGCTTCTCCACAGATTACAGTTGCCCATAGCCTTGGGTCACAACAAGCAACCACAGCAAACAGATAATCTGGTTCTCTATAGGACTTTGAGGGAACACATTCCAGCAGCATTACTCATGACAAGAATCTATGGGAATGGTAGACCAATTGCATTATTAACTTTGCAATGACAAATCAACTTAGGGACTTATCTGTTTACCAAATTACAGAATCTGGAGAAATCCCTTTCTGAATGTCCCACCATCAAAAACCAGATCCTAAGGTGGGTCTTACTCAACTTTCTGTTCAAATGTATATATTTTTAAAAGCAAAATTATTTGTTGCCAAGAATTATGCTGCATTAAGTCCATTTTCTGAATATGTTGAAACAGCACCAAATGGTTGCCATTAAATACTGTGGAAGGAGGATGTTACCAATGTATGCAACAGGATGGAATCTTCTGGAATATCCTAGCGAGGAAGGAAGGAGTTCAGTAGTTTAGATGTTTTAATGTCATCAGTATTTCTACATTTCCTACAGCTGCTCCACTTTGTTTATATTAAAAAAAAATTGCTGCAGGCTGGAATTTGGCAAGGTTAAAATGGTTGGACAGCTTTTGTGACAGCTACAAATATAAAAAACTGGAAATAGAAGTTGAGCGATTTTTACCTTTAATGCTTGTTCCTTAAAGTACTGCAGAGCGTACGCAAATATTTCAACGGCCTTGACTTTCTTGCCATTTGCTGCTGACAAGTCAGTTTCCAAAGTGAGGTTCTGAAGAAGAAAATAATTTTCAGAACTAATAAATATTAAACCATGCTTTTGGACTTGAGGGAATACAACACTGAGCCTTACTCATTATGCCTTCTGCCTAATACTCACAATTCTTACTGGTTTAGGTTGTGTCATTTTATTTTTATTATTTTGCCCGTCTTGTGATTTGCAAGTTTAATGTGATGCTGCCTTGATACAGATGGTCCAGTGAATCACAGGTAGAGTTGAGATTGAGTAGAACTGTTATATATAGTGGTATGACTGGACACTGTTTTGTACTTTAGTTGTTTTGGGTTTTATTAATCTCATGAGGTATCAGTTTTATTGAGGCAGTTACTTGGAGAATGTGAAGAGTAGCTGCATGATAATACAGTATTTAAAAGGAGTGTTTTGACTTATGATTAGTGACCATTCAGATTTATGATTAGTGACCTACTGGTAGTTACTTACAATCCAGATTCAAAGTTCTGATTATCTCCCCCCCCCCCAAAAAAAAAAATCAGAGGTGGTATTTAGCAGGTTCTGACCAGTTCTGGAGAACTGGTAATGGAAATTCTGAGAACTGGCAAATAGTTTAGTTTAGTTTACTTTATTGTCATTGCACCTCATACAACGAAACACCATCTTCAGTGCACATCATGACCATGACAATAAACACAAACACACATCCTTCACCCTTCACACATTGAACCAGAACCCCCCGACACCACACCAACACTGCACTATACAGCAGAATTCAAAAGAGCTACTGCCCTGGGATAGAAGCTGTTTTTCAGCCTATTTGTCCTTGTTTTTATTATTCTGTACCATCTGCCAGGTGGTAATAGTTCAAAAAAAGGGTTCCCAGGATGAGATGGATCTTTGAGAATGTTTTGAACTTTCTTAAGGCTGTGGGAGCTATAAAGCTCTTCCAAAGAGGGGAGAGGGCAACCAATGATCTTCTGGGCAATGACATTAACCCTCTGGAGTGCTTTCCTATCTGCCACTGTGCAACTGGCAAACCATACAGAGGTGCAGTATGTTAAAATGCTCTCTATGGTGCAGCGGTAGAAGATCACCAGCAGTTTTTCATTCAGTTGTTGTTTTCTGAGAAGTCTCAGGTAGTATAATCTCTGCTGGGCCCTTTTGACCAGGGCTGCAATGCGGGCACCCCAGGTCAGGTCCTCTTTTAGGGTAACACCCAGAAACTTAAAACTGGCCATTTATTTATTTGGGTAGTATGTTAAAACAAAATGTTCATTATATCAAATGAACATTGAACATTAAAATGGATTCACTACTTACACTAGTTGTATGGAGCTTCATCTTAAATTTTTCAAAATATAGCCAGTGTTTTGATTCATTGGGATCTAGGTCATGATAGAAATCTCTTGCCGCATAACCAAAACTGTGGAACTTTCGTTCTGGGGTCAAGAGAATAGTTGTTGGTGTCTTCTGGTTAGCCACACCAGGATCTCCTCCTTCCCATCGCCTAGAACATAGAGTAAATAATTTAAAAACCATCAGAGTTTGACATCTATTGCTATTCAACCTGGGTAATTTATCCATGCAAACACAGTAACTTTGTGGAACTGTTTAAAAAAAAATTAGGATACAACTTTCTAAGACTATTTTTTAAAAAAGCAATTACAGGCTGAGATTCAGAGGTTCTGGAGGAAAATCCACCAAAAGTTAGGTATAAAGTGTGCCACTTTTCTCACAAAGTGCCCCAGAGCACTACTGGACAATGCACGAGCACTAATGGACAATACACCAGGTCTTGCTTGTGGATTCCTATGATGGGTCTGTGTGAGAAGAAAGCAGGTGGGCCAATTAAATCCCTCACACTGCCCAAAGCACTGTTTCCTCAGAGGCTCTACAAATAAAAACATCAAGCACTTTATATAATAGAGCCCTATTTTTAAAAAGTGTCCCCTACGGCCCTTGACTATTAGAACAAAAAAATCTTTAGTTGTTTTGGTTTTGAGTAGTTTTTGGTTCGGAGAAAGTTACTCACTACTGAGGTGAGCTGGACTGCAGCAGCTAGGTTCTGCCCCAGCATGCAAAACATAAAAACCATAGTACATGCACTGGCACTGCATTTAATACAAGAGACTGCATTTGAGAATCAAATAATAAAGAGCATACAGAGTGTATATTTCGTGGGGGACAGGGTGTTTTCTCTCTTTGCTGCTCTTGCTGTAGCACACAGTTTATTATTAACAATGTCAATAACATGAGTGAGCTAAACCTCTTAGGCTTTTCTGGTGAGGTCATTTGTCAAAAGGGCCCACTAACTGGTCACAATCTCTTACCCTTGAGTCAATACATTAGCACTGCACAATTGTTTCTTAGCAATAAAACTTCCTTTGTTGTCAGCCCATGAAATTCCCTTCTCAATATATAATTAGGAGCTCATTAAGAGCAAAGAGAATCCCAGTGGTTTGTTTGTGGAGAGATACACAAATTGTAAAAGTCTATTAATTTAACAAATGATAACTGTAGATAATAATATTCAGATATCTTGAATTAGACTTTAGTGGAAGCACATGGTAATCTGGGACTTGTGATAAAAAAAAGAGATAAAAATGCATCATTTTGTGCCATTTAGAGTCTGAATTGAGATTGCTGCTCGTGAAGCCCTACGCACCAGCTGCACAATCAAAGCAAAGGGAAAAAAACACTGTTTTCATTGGAAATCCTAATAACTGTAATTTTGACTCATTTTTGATCTTATTTTAACTGCAATAAACCTTTTGCTAGCCTGAATCCCTTCTCAGTGCTGTTCTGTCACACACATAGGGTGAACCCTGTGGCTAAGATTCACAGAGCTATCTTTAGTATATGAACAATTTTTTCTATCAAACCCTTCCTCAACTCGGAGGGTCCCAATGTTTAAGAATTGCCAATGCACCCTGAGACTGTGCTTCAGGCTGTACACATCAGCGCACAAAACCCAGCTGGCATAGAATTTCAGCTTTTATTTAATAATAGCAGAACCTGTATTTCTTCCTAAGGATTCAAAGATGAATAATACTGTGTGAAATGTTAGTAAAAGAAAAGTCTACAACTTGTGACAGATTCAGGTTGGGATTTCCCTAGTCCTTTCTACCTTCTTATAACTAGAAAAAAAGGAAGAGATTCTGACCTAGATTTTGGTTTGTTCAGGCCTCTACTGCACAGCAATTGTTAAAAATACAAATCCTGCCCCACCACAAGGAGTAATAGCACTAGATAAGACAAAAGGCCAATGCATTTAAATCCTGCATTGACTTGGGATAACTCTTGAAATGCGCAATCACAATCTTGCATAATATACACGTTGGTTGAACCAGAAGCTTTGTATAACCATAACATTTCCCACCGAGATATAATTAGGGCTATCCAGAGAGGATATAGCTCAGCAGAAAAGCATATGCTTTGCAGACAGTCCCAGGTTCAATCCAAAGCATTTCCAAATAAGAATAGCCATTTAGGTGAAACTAGTTAACTAGTGCTACTTGTTAATCAAGAGTGTTTGTCTACACAAACCAATAGCCAGCTTCTTATAAGCCTGTTTCCTATAGTCTTATGTTTGTTTTATTTTATAGGAGTTCTATTTTAAGAAATTCCAGTGGTGAAAAAAGTCACATTGCTTATTAATAAAGCATTGTCCATTTACTTCTGCTGACATTTTTATTTTAATACTATCAAAGAAAAGGCTAAGCATACATAAGAGAAATTATTCAGATCTGATGAAATAGTGGTACTTTTTTATTCATCCAGTCTGTCACATTTTCCCCCGGGCCCATCCTAGCAAGCTGGTTCTCCCATGCTACATCCATACTCTGCATCAAGGAACCTTGGCAATGCCTCAGTTTTTTTATTACGCATTTTGAGCACTATAAATAAAGTCTTCCTTGTCACTCTTCTCTGTTAAGCATTTTGATGTTAACAGGAAAAGGTTAAGAAGCAGCAGTCAAGACTCCGCTTAATTGCATCATTCTTAGGATCAGTGGTCACCAACCGGTGGGCCGGGGACCACTGGTGGTCTATGAGAAAATTTTGGTGGTCCGCAGAGAAGTATCACCCCCAAATCACCCCCCAAAGCAATTAATCCAGGCTGCACGGGAACACAAGGCTGTGCCACCCACATGGCCTGCAGGAATACAAGGCTTGTGTTGCATTGCGAACAACATGAGGTGGTGAGGGGAGGGGGGAAAGAGTGGAGGGGGAGGACTTGCCCCATGCATCTCACCTGGCCACCGGGCTGCTTCTTTCCTCTTCTTTCTTCTTCTGCTTTTGGCTGCACACAAGGAAAGCAGCAAAAGTCTTTTTTTTTCTCTCCCCCAAACTGCGCCAGAAATGAGTCTTTGGGTCCCTGCAAGGCATCCTGCTCCAAGAAGTTGTGCCAGCACGACAAGTCTCACAAAGACTCATTTCTGGCGGAGTTTGGGGGAGAGAAAGAAAGACTTCTACTGCTTCTCTTGCAATGAGCCAAAAGTCAGTCAGTCTGTCTGTCTGTCTGTCTCTCCCTCCCTCCCTAAGAACAGAGCAGGAGACAGTATCCTGCGATCCCAAATAAAGAGTGATCGATCAGCAGGAAAACGGGGTGGGGAATTTTCCTGCAGACTTTTTTTGGGATTTTCCTACGGTCTCTGGCCCGCAAGATTTAAAATTATGAGTTTGGTGGTCCCTGAGGTTGGCAACTCCTGCTTAGGATTTAATAAAGTCAAGGACAATATCAGTAGTACAATAGTATATGCTCGGAGTCACTTAATTGTGTTATTTTGCTATTTTGTTTCAGTGAGAGACAAAGCCTTACTAAGGCTTTTTACGCAGCCTTAGTTACACTTGCAATACTGCATCCAATTCTGGTTATCACAATATAAAAAAGATATTGAGACTCTGGGAAGAGTGCAGAGAAGAGGACCAAGAATGATTAGAAGCAGTGGGATAGAAGTGGGATACGACAAGGTTAACTACTGGTTTGGGATTTACTAGCTTCCCTGCCATGTGCCTGTAATTCGTCATCAGCATGCTGTGTGCAGAGACGCAGCCTTTGAAACAGCCCTGTTTTCCTGCTGTTTTAACTGCAGCTGTGCCTCGTTCGGCAGCTAAAGTTGAAAAAAGCAGGAAATAAAGATCAGGTAAGAACCCAGGTGGGTGGGTGGGCAAAAATATCAGCAGACATAGAACTGGTTCTATGTCTGTTGCTCTTCAGAGCTACCGGTTCTACAGAGGTGGACAGAACCGGTAGAAACCCACCCGATTAGAAGGCTGGAGACTAAAACATACAAAGAATGGTTACAGGAATTGGGTATGTCTAATCTAGTGAAAAGAAGGCCTAGGGGAGATATGATAGCAGTGTTTCAATATTTGAGGGGCTCCTACAAAAAACTATTTTCCAAAGCACCAAAAAGCAAGATGAGAAACAAAGCACAGAAACTAACCAAGGACAGAATCAACCCTAGAACTAAGGAGATATTTCTCAATGGTGAGAGCAATCAACTAATGGAACAACTTGCCTTCCGAAGTTGTGGGTGCTACATCACTGGAGGCTTTCAAAGAGACTGGATAATCACGAGTAGGGGGTTAGACTAGAATACTTCCAAGGTCCCTTCCAACTCTCTTATTCTATGAGAAAGTTAAATATGTGTACACTTACACTACACTTAAATAAAAAGTTAATGTGTTGGAGGAGATTATACACTTTTTATGACAGGACACAATGAATCAATAACATAATAATCGAGTCACTCACCCCAGTTCTTTTATATATACTCTGTTCAACCCTAACCCTGTACTGGTAGAAGTTATTTTCAAAAATGAATTATGCATCCTTGACTTAACCTGGACAGGTTTATCATCCCAAAGAAAGACCAATTTTTGTGTGTGCTTCAACTCCTTGACCCCAGAATTTGTCATCTCTGATCCTGAGTCACAAACAACTAGAAGCCTCTATAAAGGAATTAAGAAGGACCAGTTTCTCCACATTAAAGAGGGTTTTTGACACTAAAATGAAGCGAATTCATTTCCATGTTAGCCCAACAACTGAACAAAAAGCATGACAAAGCCTGAGCTTCAACTAAGGGCATTTTAATTTTCCTTCCTTTTCTGCTTTGCTCCCCACTTCACCTGCAGTTTTAAAGCTAGAGGGAAGAATAAGATTTTTTATTATTATCCATATTCTAGGTAATAACAGAAATTGCAATCTGTTGTGACACTTGCATTCACAACTGCTGTTGTGGAAGAATGGCTGGCAACTCCTTGGAGCTGTATTTGTTTTTCTTTTGGAGAGAAGCTATAAGAAATGTTTTATATCTTATAGAACAGGATACCTGAGGAGATTGGCTTACTGGCCTTCCAAGCTTAGTGATTTTGCTTGGGCTAACATTTTTGTGATCACAACCTACCAAAAGCTTCACGCTCAATTACACATCTCCCAATCCACTCCATTGATTTCTCTATGGCTATGCTAACAATAGTGACAAGAAAGTAATTTTGTCCGTATTACATTTTATTGAAAATGAATAGTAGAAAAGGATCAGCGCAAAGCATTAAGAAAATGGTGGAAGGGTGAGGGGGAGGGAAAAAGAATAAGATAGAACTAACTTTTTTTTTTATTTCAATGTAAACATCCTCAAATATAATGCAGCTAGAAATGACATTTCCTGTAATAAATATCTTCCAAAGTACACTGATTATGTAAATATTGATTTTACAGTTCTATCTACATTACCAGTTATCACAGTTTAGTAAACATAAGCCTTACTTAACCACCATACTTTTTTATTCCTTTTATTATTATTTTTAAAAAAGCTCTCTAGATACAATTCTGAAAAGAAATCATAAGAACAGCTGTTGGGATTTCTTACATTCGTTTTTATGAACTCTGAACATATAGCTTGGATGGCTAAATTACTACTTGATAGCTGACATACTTAAGGAAATTAAAATTGGAGGATTCCAATCACACTGATCCAGTTTTCACTTTTGAACTAATGTTCAGATTTGATCCAGTATTCACAATTCACAATTTTGGTATGATTTGTTTTTAATTGCAGATTAATGGAAAATTGCAAATCACAGGAAAAAAGCCACTCTACCATTTTGTTTTATTTTTTTATTTTTAGAAAAAGGAAATACGTTGCATTACAATATTGGCCATTTCTTTTCTAACTATAGAAGCCTGAAATCTAGTTTGTGGGAGAATTCTCATTTCTAAACAACTTTGAACATTTCTATATAACTAAAAATACTTTTATTTCCTATTAATTTATGAGATACTTGGTACTGTTGAGATAGTTGCTTATTTCCATATGTCTGATGCGTCTGGTTGAAAATGCATCATCAGACACGCCTGGAGATAAGCAGAAGAAAGATCTATGCTTAGTAGCCCTGTCTCACCATAAAAGCAAATCCTGCCTCACCAAAAAAATGTATACATGAAGAACTTCTCACACTGGATCAAGTGGCCCAGTACCTGATTTAGAAATCAAACCACCCAACCCTTGGGAAGGACACAGGCTCTGGGTATAGTATCAGAAGGCTGCATAGGCCTCGACTTAAGGCCAGTCACTTAGCATCCATTCAAATTTATGACAGACTGCCAAAAAGGACTTATGAAGGTTTTCCTTGAAAGTTTTTGACAATGTCCAACCTCACTGGGGTTGAGGGCACTGTATTGCAGTGTTTCTACTCCTACTTGTAAAGAGGGTATCTGGGACATAAGAGCTGTGATGTGGGTTACAACATACATTTTTATTTCCAATAGTGATTAAACATGTAATATCACAGTTTGGGGCGTTCAGTAGTTTGGGGGAATAGGTGTAATCAATACACTAATGACACTTAATTATGCTCTATCGAAGATCAGAATAGGTTGTGCGTCTTTTGATGCAAAGACAAGGTGTGTAAAGGTCAGTACACTGAGATGGAATCCTCACATATCAAAGATTCTGTGATAGGCTTCTTCCTAAATATAGGAATTGGGAAGTCTGCCTGTCTCCATGGGGTCACACTCACTCAGAAATAATAATTTTGGTGTGGTTTTACATTCATTAAGGCAGGTAAAATTGAACATCAGATATCACTATCTGTAGTTAAAAGAAGCACTAATCAAATCAGCAATTTTACCACAGAATAATGTAACTCTTTATATTTCACTTTGTCCATTACATGTTGATTAAGTTGTTAACACATTTCCTTTGAATCACCTTAATAAAAATCTACTAATCATACAGCTCCAAGCACCAAGGCTGGGATACTGGTCCTCACCTCATTACATGAATACATTCGGGTTCCTTGGTGAAGCTGTAAGCATAACCACTGGAAGTTGTGCCAAAGTCAACAGCCACCACCACAAGAAATGTCTGCTCCTCGGCATCGTTGGTATCGGAGTCCTTCTGTCCAAGGAACAGAAACGGGATGGTTCAAGAAGGAGTTATAAATATTACTGGATCTGTTTGATTCTTCTTTGATACAGCTCAGGAGCTGAAGACTAAAATGACTTGCCAACAAACCTGACTTTTTAAACCATAATGTTGTAATAATTTTGAAATAATAATTATGTGCCATCAAATCATCTTTGACTCCTAGCAACCACATAGATTTTCATGGTGATGATGATGATGATTTGGTCATATTGGCTAAGGATTTTAAGAGCGGAAATCCAACACATTTATAAAGTATTAGGTTGGGGAAAGCGAATACAGGTAGCCCTCAATTTACGATCACAATTGAGCCCAAAAGTTCTATTGTAAAGTGAGACATTAAGTGAATATTTGCCATTTTACGACCTTTCTTGCCACCATAGTTAAATGAATCACTGCAATTGTTACGTTAGTAACATGGTTAAGGGAATCTGGCTTCCCCATTGACATTGCTTGTCAGAAGGCTGCAGATAATCACATGATCTCAAGACACTGAACTATCATAAATATGAGTGAGCCAAGAACCTGAATTTTAATCACGTGACCAACGGGGATGCCACCATGGTTAAATATGAACAAGAGTCATAAGTCTCATTTTTCGGTGCTGTTGCAATTTTGAACGGTCACTAAATGAACTTTTGTAGGTTGAGGACTACCTGTATAGATTGTATCTCTCACCGCAATATGGGAAGGAGACAACGGTGTGATTCCTGGATCTCCTAAACTTCTTGCTGGAGATGCATAGGTTGTTGAAACTGCATCTGAAAGAAAATGGGAGCCTTTGAATGAACTTGGTATCTTTGAAAGAGGAAGAACAGGCATCCAAAAGGGCATTCATTCACATTGCTGAGTTGGTTCAGAGCCAGAGAATAACCAAAGCAACGCACATAACAATCTTCTGCATTACTGATTTCAGTCATTAATGCAGTCATTTAAAATTTAAATGCCATTCTTCTAATCATGAATGCACTGGACTATTCATTTTGACTAGGCCCTAAGGGTAGATACAGTATGGTTTCTCCTCCATTCCATCTTATTTTCTTCAGGAGTTTGGGTTAAATTCCAAGGTGCTCAGGATCTTATGACTATTTAATTATCTTTAGGCAGAAATAAAGGTTGTTAATAATTGGCTAATGTGGCAACATAAAATATGAATAAAACAAACTGAATAAAAGATTTTAAATATAAAAGGATGCAGAGAAAATGAATTGCCCTGCTTGTTGAAAGGGCAGGGAAGCATATGCCAATGATTCAAACCATGTCAGGGAACTGTCAACTGAGGATGCAGCTCTTCCTTGAGGCTTCCAATTGTGCATCTTGACTCAGATAGGAATTAGGAGAAATATCTGGTTCCATAATTACTATCACCTTACAAAGGCAGCCTCTCCTGAAAGCATTTGCTTTTATTTAGTGGAAGCATAAGATGAGAAATCAAAATATATTTCTTGTGTCACTATTAAGTTTCTAGGGATGTGTAGACTGGCTCTGATCTTTAAATGATCCAACAGAAAATTAAGTCAATTTTCCACTGTTTCACAGGCATCTGATAACTTTCAACAATTCAATTTTCTGATTTCAGTACGGAGATGTAATTTAATTTCAATATTTGATTGTGTCTCCTTCAAACTAAGACTCCAATTAAAGTTTATGCATTTGCATTATTTTCACTTGAAAAGGAAGAAACTGATTTGAGCTTGTTGGAATAGAATGTATTCAATGTTAGTTCATTCTAGCAAATATAGCAAGTTTCCTCTGAGTTTCCATGGTTACCACAATGAATCACACATCCTATAATCACAACAAGTGGAGTGGGGGGCTATTTAGTGAAATGCCATGTGAAGTAGTTGCATTCAAGAAATAAGCTTGCATAACAGCCATTATGCGCTTCTGTCCAGTTTGGTCTCTAGGTATCAGCCATCTGTATAGCAAAATATGAAACCAAATTAAGTTGGTTCACTTAAAAGTTTTCTGAAATGCCACGAAGACAAAAACACATTTTTCCTTTGCATAACAGCTCTTGGCTTCTATTTATTTTGCAGCATTTTTCATTTAAAAAACTTTACAGTGGTTCTTTTATTGCTCTTTAATGACTTAGTATTTCAGTGTGAGTTATGTATGCGTGTTTCCCCAGATTCTTTCAACTCAAATGGACAAAATTTTCTCAACTTTCACTGACTTCAGTGAAACCCTTTTGTAGTAACAGTTCTTATAATGATAGTCCAAAACCAAAATGCTCTATTTAGAAAAAAGTAAAGTCCCCACGGATTTTATGCCTCCAGTCATTGTCAACTATAGGGGGCATTACTCATCTCAGTTTCAAGGCCACTGACCCAGCACTGTCTGAAGACATTTCCATGGCCAGCATGATGTCATGAAGAGCTGTTACCTACCCACCAAAGTGGTACTTAGTTATCTACTTGCATTTGCATGCTTTCAAACTGCTAGGTTGGCAGCAGCTGGGGCAATGACAGGAGCTCATCCTGTCATGTGGCGCTCAGGTCTCGAACCTGGGCTTCCGATTTTCCAGCTGACAAGCCTAGCATCTTAACCACTGAGCCACCACACTGCTCTATACACAAAGAGAAACAAATCCCATTTAACAAACTGGAATAATTCTGTTTCATGTAACAATGATGTATTGGTTTTCATTATTGATACCAAGAGTGGATTTTATTTCCTGGATGGATGAAGGATACCAAGAGTGGATTTTATTTCCTGGATGGATAAAGGTTTGAAAATTATTCAACCACAGATGAAAGTTTAAATCTCTTCATGATATACAAGATGGTCCCACTATAGATTGAGATACCCTGTATATGCACACCCATGCACACACGCATACACAAACACATAAAGAGCCTATTTGATGTGGTGGTTAAGGCATCAGGCTAGAAACCAGGAGACCATGAATTCTAGCCCTGCCTTAAGGCCCAAGTTTATCTGAGTGACCTTGGACTAGTCACTTTCTTTCAGCCTTAGGAAGGAAGCAATGGCAAACCGCTTCTGAAAAACCTTGCCAAAAATATTGCAGAGATTGTCGGGGCAGTTTCTTAAAATTGGACACAACTGAACAGAAGAACTAATATTCAATCATGAGTTCTGTAAAAAAAAAAAAAAAGTCAGAATATAAAATATCTAAATAAATGCAAGTAAATAGTATTTTCGTGATACTGATAGTTCTTTAGTCCATGATTGACTAAAGGTTAGGTGGTTGTCTTGCAGTTTATTAAGAAACAAAACATTTGCAGCTTGTTTTTGTAGTACTTAGTGGTAGATACTTCGTGTATCCCCCTCACATATTATTACTTGAATTTAGGTTTTAAAAATTCTAGCTCCTATGCACATAGTAGAGATAACAGGTTCCTACTTGCAAAGTTCATACATTGGAGTAAGCGGTATGCTTGCTGGTAATTAGCTACAATGTATGACACTGAATATGCCAATTATGAGTTACTCAACAAGCCATTGTTAAAGCCATGACTTAGCACTATATATGAATACAGCCTCGGAGACAACTATGAGATTATGCCCAGTAAACTGAAAAAGATATGTTTTGAATGCGGTGACTAAAATATCTGGATTGAATGTTCTGCCCCATAACAATAACAGTAAAAGTCAATTATAATGACTGTTAGCTTCCAGGTCTGAATTATCTATCCCCTTTACAATCTTCTTGTTTGTTTCTTAAAGATAAAAACTCAAGTTGGCCGACACAACCCATAGGGTTGTTGTTGTTGTTTTTTGCACTATTATATGGACAATGATAATGCACTTTCTTTTCAAGATTTGATAGGCTGTTGAGACTTAAAATGTTCTTAGCTTTTCATCTTACCTTTCCTCCAAGCATTACAGCAATACATCTATTCTTGAAACTACTGCATCATGGACAATGATGAAAGATAGTTATCCGCAACTGTTTCTTAATATAGGAAAATGCATCTGGTATTTGAGAAACCTAACACTATGAACACCAAACACAATATTGTTTTATCCAGGCTAAAGACACATGACCACAAACTCAGATTTAAGGATGTCCACATAACAAGCTACAGCTGAGTTGGCAGGAAAAAAAAAACCCAGCATGAAAAATTTAAAGACACACCCTAATGCCTATTTTCCTGGGAGTAGCCACCACTGACCACTACAAGATTTCCTTCATATAAGACACATCCTTGAAGAAACTGCAAATGTTTTGTTTCTTAATGAAAGTGTTAACACCACCACCTAATTTTTAGTCAGTCATGGACTAAAAAATCCTGTATCAGTATAATGAAAATAATATTACTAATATCATGATCCGGTTTTTCAAAGACTCAAGGTTAAGAAATTCCATCACAGAAATTATGTCAATCTTGGCTACAAAGAGTAGAATGAACAGCATGAATTTGAGGAAGTTGCTGATCACTTAACACACACACACCTTTCAAAAGGTTGCTATATTTCTATGTGATCCCCTGCAAAGCATCTTCTAAGTTGCTTCATGAAGCAACATAGTCTTCCTGCTTCTTAAAGTCAAAGATGCCACATATATATGGCTAAAAAGTTCCTATTCATAAAACTAATGTTTAGGTACGTATCATAAATCTGCAGGTGCCTCTTTTGCCTACTTGAACTGTCAGGTGAGACAACATAAACCTCACAAGGGAAAACTGCATTGCTACCTCACCCCTTGAGCACAAAGAATCTTCTCAATATAAAGCACATCTATTTCTTCAAACCTGCTAATTGTTTATTCACTCATCAAATGTATATGATCATGCAGCCCAAAGGGCATCCAGTTGCAGGCTCTGTCCTTTTGGGCTCTACCTATGATATTGCAAAATGGGAAGGGCATGCAGTGCTATGATGTTACGATGTCGCTTCTGTCCCCTTTGCCAACGCCACCTCTTCTTTCCCTGCTCTGGGCTAAGTCTGAACCAACTTTATGAGATTTTGATGAATGTTTTAATTTCACATGTTAATAAACCACTAACCAAGATTAAGCCTAAGGCTTCTTTAATATTCTTGTGATCAAAGAGCTGCATCTCAGCAGTTTTAGCTGGAATCAGCTCTATATAGTTTCAAGAACAGAGATGGATGGGCAAGCAATAGGCAGCTTTGGCAATTTAAGTTATGCCTGAGTCAAAACAACTCTTCCCAAAGCTGCTTGAAGTTAATTGGATCTGAAGATTTGGGAGTAGCCTGTCCTAGAGAAGCAAAGGATGCAGACCAGTCAGCCCTGTTGATTTAAAATGATTTCAAGTTTCACCTCACCCTAAATTATGTACAAAGATTAGGGGAAAGGAAGATTTTTTAATGATTTATTTTTAATCATGGGACTGAAGAACTTGCAAAGGACTTTGACTGACCTCATTATGATTGGCAGGCTCAAAACAGGCAAACATGCTTCTAGAATTCCATTTTATTTTCTCTTACATGTTCATTGCATGTAACTCCATTTAGGATACTTAAGCTGTTCAAACTTTCAGCATTTTTGAAGTAGAATTCTGCTTCAGCTACAAACCCAAGCACATTTTCCAGAGCTACCATGAGTGTTCTGCATGAGAGTTATTAATTTTCTAAATGAATTGCATTTTTACAATTGAAAATTATAATTAATAAATTGTACTAATAAAATGACACATCAAAGTCATAAAATGTAAGTTGGGCTAAATCTTATATTTGCTGCTCTTAATCAAAATCCCTATTATTCCTAGGTGAATGGGATTCTTTGAGTATTCCAAGAATAATTTCACCATAGACTTGATAAGCATAGTGGCAAAACACCCATCTGGGATTCTGGCTATCAGTGTTTATTTCAACTGAAGAACTGGAGCAAATGTGCAGTCCCTTCTTAATTCTAATGGAAACCAGGCCTTCCTCACTCCAAGGAAGTTTCTAATACTTTGCAATAAATGTGAGTAACCATTTCTAGCACTGCAAAAAATCATTGTGCTGTTGCTGAAAAAACCTACATGGATATGACCAGCAGTCAACTAGGATCTTGACTAAGGAAAATCTTTAACTAATTTAGCACAGTTGGTATAATTCCTCTCATATTTCATAATCTCTGCTTGGTCCTGTTGCATACAACCATTATATAACAAGGTTTAAGACTTTGAGGATCTTACAAATGAGCCCGGCCTTAAAATTTAAAAGTTGATCAAAACCACCAGCTATGTATGTTTGTTTGGCATAAAACATAATTTTATTGCTGAGCACTGCTACCTATGAGGCCAACTGCAACTGGAATAGATGCTTTCCAGATCAAAGACCACCTACAAGTCTTATCTATCCCTAGAATTATCACGCCACTTTTTAATAACAGATTCTCCCTAATAGCTTATCATCATCCTTATCCCAAACAGCTGCCCCACCATGCATAGGGCAGTATTCAACCTAATGCAGTGGGAGCTGATGGGAGTAAACTTTCCCCTTCAGATGTGAGACTGTAAATCCCCATTGGCTAGGAAGACAGGAGGTGTGGTCCAAGTCATGGAGGCTGGATGTCTCAGGGATCAGCTTCACTGTCTATTAAAGGTTTATGCTGAAAAGGCTGCAGTGTTGAGGGCTTGGAACTATCAACATAATTAATGGCCAATTTTTGCTGCAATATTTTACTGCTCTCATCTCAAGCAGTTTTGCCTTTGTAACAAATGTTACTGCAACATATTTCATCATATTAATAGTACAACATGTTTTTGTGGCATCAAATACAGTATTTTACATATTAAAAATCTGCACTGTTCACAATGACACAGATGTCACAATCTCTTTATTAGGAATTCAACTGAGTATGTAATTGCTATGGGTTATGTATCTAAATACTTGGGATTTATTTTAACATCAATTTATGCCAGTTGCCTACTTATATAAAATGTACAACTTTATATGACAACTAAAGAAATTTGCTTTTCAATTTTTTCATTTTTTTCAAATTCTATATCATACTTTAAATATTTACCACCCAAAGGAGATTTTTAAATCCTTATTTGAAAAAAAGCCATTGCTCTTTTTATTAAAAAAAATATACTATTGTACAATACACGTCCACAGTGCTAGTGTGTAAAATGCAACAATTTAAAGTATTTTCTTCACTTTTTCTCTGATATTTATTTTTTTGTCTCTGAGTCAGATACCCTATATGTAATGCACCATTCAATTGCAGACCTCAGAGAAGATGCTCTTAAATTATATTTTATGTCCTTCTATTATTAGCTCCATGCAGAACTTATCTACACTTGAGAGTAGATTTCAATTTTGCATGTCATTCACAATGTGAAGGAAGTTGCACAGCTAGCTGTTACTTTTGACAGTTCTGAAGAATTTTACTAGCCAATGTGACAAGCAACCTGGGGACAGCCACACCCATGGCTGACTTGCACTTCCCAGAACAAGTACTACAGAAAGTGATCCAGGAGATTCAACCCCTCCCATTCTGCACATACATGCAACTGCTGAGTAAGGGGTCAAGTTTGTCCTATTTCCTGAACGTTTTTTTCTTTGAACTATTGCTATCTGATGGAGAAGGGAGAAGAACTACCCTAATTTGCACCTGCCCTGTAACTATTTTATTAAGAGCTATAAAATAATGGTCAGTAATGGTCCCAGCAATCCAAGGTGCAAACTACTCCCCCTCAAAAGCTGCAGAGCTCTGAAAATACTGCCAAGGCGTCCTATGCAACACATTATTTTGACCAACCACAACGACGAAAGCAGGAAAGAGGGACAGAAAGAGGGACTACTGGCCAATAGTTTGGATTCCATTCTCTTTACTCCCTCTCTGAAATTGAAAGGACTGGAGTTTTCTGCTTGCCACTATTTAAAAAATAATAATAGTGGCAAGCATCTCCATTGTGATTTTAAGAGGGCTTTTACTTCTCAGGCTCCGGTCTCCCACCTCCTAACCGTGGTTATCTCTGCTACTCTCCTTACAGTTTAACTGCCCTTTCTCTTTTTTGGGGGGGGGGGGGGGGAGGAGACACGCCTCCACGACCGGCGTCTACTGTCACCGGTTCCGGGAAGCGCTGCATTTGTAAGCCGCGGCGATCCGCACCCCGCCCAGCCGCAGAGCAGATGCAGAGGCCGGGAACACCCGCGGCTCAGCCGCGCCAGAGAGACGCGCCACCGCGGGGGGGGGGAGGGGGGAAGCTCGGATTCCTCCGCATTGTTTTTCCACCTGGATCCTATCGCCAGTCATTTCACCTCCCGATCTGCTGCTGCTGCTGCAATCGCCTTCTCGGCGTTCGGGATCAACTCCTGGCCCAAAGCTTGCAAATAACGCGGAAAGGGAACCCATGCCAGGCGTTTTAATAATTATTTCTAATAAAAAATGGGGAGAGAAGTCCCGCGCTTGGACATGCCCTAGATTGTCTCTTCTACAAATTCTAAGCACCCCGCAACTAAAGAGGGGGAGGGCCGACCACGCGTCGAGCCAACCCCCCCCCCCCCCCCCCCAACCCGCTCTCCCGAGAACTGGACCCCCCCCCCCCCCCCCCTTCCTTATTAGCTGCCCAAGGTGCTTCTAGCAGAAGTATTTATCCGCTCAGGGCCAAAGTTTACGCTCAGGAACAAGGATCAAACCTAACGGGCCTCCCTTTGTCCCGAACCAGGACTTAAGGCGGTTTATCCCTCCACACACGCGCACATACCCACATTTATCAACTGGATTGCACACGCGGAGCTGCTCAGCTGGTCTGACATTCGCTCCGGTGCCCGCGCAATATATTTCAGCAAATCGATCCCAGGTCTAGCGACCGCATTCGCAAGTAATAAATGTCGCGATCGTTTATTGACTACAGTTTGTTTGCGGCTTGGCGTCCTCTCTGCATTCGGCCCGTTCGGTTCTGCTTCAAGCGTATTGCGCAACCTATCCATCCACCCACCCACCCCGATGTACAAATCGGACCCAAATGTTTTGCCTGCGCTCAGCCAGTGCGTGGACAGAAGGCGGTGCACGTGAGAGCTCCGCGCTGCGAAACACGCGAATAAGATCGTTCGTATCTTTTTTAGCCCGGGCAGGGGCATCTCTTTATAATTGGCGTTTTTTGCAGAAATTATAATAACCAGCCAAGTATGGGGTTTCCACGCGGGTTTCCTTTCTATTCAAGAGTCACCTTGCAAGATTGCACACCGCTAGCATGTGCAATGAGTGTTTGTAGCATTAGAGTGGAGGGCTTTCCCTCCGAAGCTCGTGTGACTGCCTGCAAGACATAACCCGGGAGCCGACAGGCTCCTGTCCCCCACCGCTCCACCCCTCAAGCCCAGATCCCCTCCAAGGAATCTTCTGCATTGCTTCGCCTGGCGACGTTTCCTGCAAACCAAGCAATGTCCTCCCGTCCCTGCCCGCCGCAGAACCCTTTCTTTAAACCCATTACCTGCTGCGATGCCTTCGGTCCCCGCCATGTCTGAAGGCGTCTACTGCGCCCTCCGGTCCCTTACTTCAATTACGCGAGGCGTGATCAGCAGGGAAGGAAGGAGGGAGGGAGGGAGGGAGAGAGGAGGGGGGGCAAACCCACGAGCGCGCCTCTCACTCAGCAGTCTGAGCCATTGGGCAGGAGGTGATTCTGCTGCAAGCGCTTCCTTCCCAGATCTGCAGATGAGGAGCCCAGACAAGCCCCCCTTTTCCCCTCCCCTCGCCCGCCCCGATTCAATTTTTCGTCTCTTCTCCACCCACGCCTGGCCGTGCAAGACAGCCGAAGGGAAAGGTTAGCGTTTGACCCCGCTGCTAGCGAGCCTCTCTCTCTCTCTCCTTTGCAAGGCTCTGGATGCTCAAAGTTCTGCAGCGCCCCTCCCCTTTTGAAGCGAGCCACTGACCTGCCTACCACCCCCTTTCACTCAGCCCGGGAGGGAATGGACAAAGGAGGATTTTGACAAGGAGCCTTCGCAAGAAATAGTATGGACGTTAGGATCAGCAGACCACGTCGCCTTATTTGACATCCCCTTCGAGATGGTGCTTTCATGCGTAGCTGCATGAAATTACAGTCCGAATTTACATACGGCGTATCTGTTCCCTTAAGAGGACACAGAAAACACTCAAGCCATAAATAAACTAGCTCCTAGGGCCCTTTCTGAAGATCGCCCAAAATGTTGCAAATGGATTTGAGCCACTGCAGAAGACTTAGACCCAAGAGAGGCACCAGTGACAATAGCAAAATGCTTTTTTATGAACTAGACTGACATTCGGGTATTGAGGGGAAGGGACAGCCACATAGACTTTGGTTACTCTTACACATCAGTGTGGGAATGCTGTATATTTACCAGCTCCAAGGAACTGCAAATTAAAACCAAATAGTAAACCTGCTACTTATTAATTGCATTGCAAATATTTGGGCATCCAGCAGAGCAAACCATAAGAGTGAATTTCTAATTTTGCTCTGAATGCTTTAGAAGCTAACATCCCACCTGGTGAACGCATCATGATTGCACAATGGCACATCAATATTTTTCCTCCTTTTACTTCAAGTGTATTAATAATATAATAGAAAAGCCAAATGTATTGTTTAAAAAGATTGAAAATAGATACGAATATAGCATATTTCACAATGTCCTTTAAAAACATGTATTGAATGAATATCTTCCCAGTTCAAAAAATGTCTAGGGACCCCTGTCTTTCCCATAGCTTGCTGATTCAAAGAGAAATAAGGAGGTATCAGAAAGAGAGAGAAAAATGTGGCTCAGTGTGTCAGAAGAAAAAGTATTTGTGCTTTCGGGTCAGTTTTTGACTCCTGGCAACTTCCTGGAAAAGTGCCTGCAATTTTCTTGGCAAGGTGTCTGAGAGATAGTTTGCCAGTGCCTCCTTCCTAGGGCTGAGAGAACAATGACTTCCCCAAGGTCATCCAGCTGGCTTTGAACCCAGTGAGACTAGAACTCAGAATCTCCCACTTTTAGCCTGATGCTTTGACCACTACACCATTGTCTCTGATATCTTAACCCACTTTTTACTTTGGCCCAACCAACTATTCACATTTGAGATGGGGAAACTATGTGAGTTCTGCCTTTCTATACTTTTTCTGGTTCCTCTACATTTTAACATGTCATAAATAAAACAAAATCAGCTTCCTTTAATTTGGGGGGGTCTCCCTCTCAACTTCTAGGTGGGTTACTTGATTCTCTTCTAATCAGTGTGCCCAGTGTTCACACCTGCAATTGTACACCTGCACCCTGCAAATTACTCTTATAGAAACTTCAGTAGGACGCAGAGTGCCCAGTCTTGATATTTATATTAATAGAAGTCTTATGTTCTGGCTGTAGGACAAAATGAGATAGAGAAAAGAAGGATAAGTATATTTAGAGATATTATGGAAATAGGAAAAATGTGTTTGTTAAACTCAAAGCCAACTGACTTCAAAAAAAAAAAAGTGTAAAGCTTACAGTTTTTAAAAGAATACTTTAAAAAAGCCCCCCCCCCTTTCAGTACTTAAATTAGGCATCAGCTGCTCGGCTGATGAGGTCCTCCTCTTCAATATTATGCAAGAAATTCCCAGGGAGATAAGGACGGCCACGCTACAGAGCTCCAACTCTTTTTTTTTTTCACCCTTGCTGCCCTGTAGTAAGGAGTAACATCTGGTCTCCAGTCTGCTACAATTATATATTTAGAATCTGACAGCAAATGCATTGGAAACAGGACAATTTTTCAGTCTGTGTTCTAGTACTTTAATTGCTGAAACTTCCAGATATTCCTTCTGTACTATTCTTTCATCACAGAATGTTAAAATGATAATAGTTTGGAAATGGCAACAATATGAATAATAGGAAGTAGCAGCATTTTTCCCATTTCCCTCCCTCCTCCCTTAAATGACTCAAAATAACCATGTAAACATGGAACCTGGGGGTAAAAAGCATCTTTCTGAATATCTGTCATATGATGAAGCCAATGTCTTCCAAATCAAGTTGCCTAAGCTACAGGCCTGACTGTAGGTGTGTTGTATAATGCAGGAACACACAGTTGGATATTTGTCACTAGTGAGTATAAAAATAAAACATTTCTAGGAAGCTTAGCAGCAAGGGATTTCCCCCCCTAATTGTTTAAGAAATTGACACTGATCCTACCCAACTCAGGAGGTTCAGGATATTAACACAATCCTCTTGTGTAAAATGGCAATACGCTGACAAGGAGGGTAAAATGAGGACCCAGATTATTGTGGGCAATATGCTGACTCTGTAAACCACTTAGAGAGGACTGTAAAGCGGTATATAAGTCTAAGTGCTATTGCTATTATGGTTGCCAGATGTTTAGACTGGATTTGGCTTTTCCCCCCCCCACCTACTGAGGCTTTTCCCGGAGGAACTGGGATAGGCAGATGTTGTTTGATGGTGTTAAAGCTATGGTCTCAGGATGTAATTGTTTCAAGTAAAGTTGCCTTTTGCAATTGACTAGCAGTGATTTTGTCACTGTCAACTGTGTCCAAGTGGTGCTCCATATGTTTTGGGATTTTGATCAAAGTATTACTATTCATACTATCTTTGCTTTCTTTTGCCACAGTCCTTTGACTTCTATTTACAGATCTTTGTATGCTGTCTCCAAGTATGGTTACATCCATTATCATTATGCCCTTCTTATCGACAATTGTTTTGTCTTGGATGTTATGTAGCACATGCTTGTCTGTTTGAATTCTAAAGTCCAGAGCATTCTAGTTTCCTCATTTTCAAAATTACTTTCTCTATTTTGTGGTCCCACTGATTCTTGCTTGCAGGCAAATGGTACTTTTTGCAGATATTCCAATGCACCATTATTGTTTCTTTGAAATGCCATTGTTTGTAGTCAGACTGTATGATTTTCTTGCAGCTGCTAATTAAGTGGTCTATTGTTTCTTCAACTTTTTTGCTGAGGGGGCATCTGCTGTCTGTTGTTATCTTCTTAATTCTGGCTTACATTTATTACATTGTAATAAAGTTTGGTTTTATGCAACTTCAACTTTCCTTCTCTTAGCTATTGATAGGTCTTGTTCTCATCTGCTTTGCCTACTTTTTGGGGGGAGAGGGATTACTATAATATTATTTATATGCCACACAACTCTTGGCAGTTTACTAATCATTAAAACATTTAAAAGCAAGGCACAATACAAAAGCAAGAAAAAAGTACAAAACAAAAATGGCAGAGAAAACAAACCCAGATGGGAACAAGGAAAAGGAAGAAAGAGATGTCAATCATCCTTACCAAAGGCCTGGTCTTCAGGTCTATTCAAAATATTAGTAAGGTGGAGGCTATTCAAATCATACTAGGTACCTCATTCTAGAAGGCAAGTGCTACTACAGAAAGGATACTCTTCTGGAAACCTGATAGGTGGCAATGTTTAATTGGAGGAACCTGGAGTCCACAACCCTGATAAATTGAAACAGCCTGATACTATTGGACTAAATGTTGTCTCAAAACAAAAGCAACAGAACCACAGTAGCATCTTTCACAGACAGCCTAGGTAGATGGTATATATGGTTGACAAAGTGAGAAACTGTGCTTAATCTGGACCCTATATCCATTCGATACAAAGTTATGTTTTAATAGCAATAGCACTTAGACTTATATACTGCTTCACAGTGCTTTACAGCCCTTCTAAGCGGTTTACAGAGTCAACGCATCGCCCCCAACAACCTGGGGCCTTATTTTACCAACTTTGGAAAAGTGGAAAGCTGAGCCAATCTTGAGACAGTCAGGATCGAACTGGAAGTGGGCACAATTAGCCTGCAATACTGCATTCTAATCACTGTGCCAATACGACTCTTTAAGGCAGGTCATAAGTGAACAAATTCTGACTGGGATAAATTAAAGTGTGAAATTACTGTCTTATTTCTTTTATGTTTCCAAATAAACTGCTGAGCAGACTTACTGTATATGTGAAAATACGAGGGCTATCCACAAAATAGATTAC